AGAGAGTGTATACACCGACGCCATTGTGATCGATTCTGAGCCATGTCACCAAGAGTCTCCAACCATTGTTTACGATAGTCACGCGGACCCCAACCAAGTAGTCTGCATCTACCAACATGGGTCAGACTAGAAGTTAGTGACTTCAAGCACTGATGCCACGTTTTGGTTTGGCCGCCCCTAACTTTCTTCCAACCATCCCCTACACCGGTTAGGATTGCACGTCGTGGTAATCGGTGTTCAGGCATACGTAACACGTGGCCCAACCATCTCAGTCGATGAAGATTTACAACCATATCAACTGATTTACCATCATTTCCTAATACCCTGCATCTAACCTCACTATTACTTACCCGGTGATCCCAGCAGATGCGAGCAATATTTCTAAGGCATCTGTGGTCAAATACTAATAGCTTACGAGTGTCTTCTACTCTCAATGGCCATATTTCGCTGCCGTAAATTAAAACAGAACGGACTGCTGCACAGTATACTCGTCCCATAATTGATAGGAGGATATCTCGCCTTCGCCATAGGTGACGTAAGTTGGCAAAAGCCAAACGAGCTTTTCGAATCCGTGCTGAGATTTCGTCCGATACCAACCCATTAGGGCTGATGAGACTTCCAAGATAAGTGAAGTTGTCAACGCGTTCGACTACTTCACTCCCTATCCTTAGTTCAGGTGTTGACGCAGACCAGTCCTGAACCAACAACTTGCATTTAGAGGGAGAGAAGCGCATCCCAAATATTCTGGCATTGTTGCTTAGTGCTACCAGAAGACTCTGCATTTTATCAACGTCTTCACCAAACAGGACTATGTCATCTGCGTATTCTAAGTCGATAAGTGGACCTCCTGGAAGGAGATCAATACCCGAGAACTCAGTGGACGAGAAAGTTATTTCCATCAGTAGATCTATGATGAAGTTAAACAAAAATGGGGAAAGTGGACAGCCTTGACGGACACCACTTGAGGTTGCAAAGGTAGATGACAGTTCGCCATAAGCTCTGACTCGACTAGTAGTGTTCGAGTAAAGAGCCTTTACAAGGTTTATGTACTTTTGGGGTACGCCTTTCAATGACAGACACTGCCGCAGAATCTCGCGGTCTACAGAGTCAAATGCTGCTTTTAAGTCGAGAAAGACCATCATTGTCGGACGCCGATAAGTATGCCTATGTTCTAGAACCTGACGAATGGTGAATATGTGGTCGATGCAGCCACGACCAGGTCTGAAGCCAGCTTAAAGCAATTTTAATCTCACCGTTTAGGGGAAGACAAAGGGTGTATACATCGATACGATTGTGATCGACTCTGGGTCATGTTTTCAGTCTCCAAGTACTGTTTACAATAGTCACACGGACTCAAATCAAGTAATATGCATCTACCAACATGACTCAGACTAGAAGTTAGTCACTTCAAGCACTGATGCCACGTTTTGGTTTGTCCGCTTCTTTCTTTCTTTTATCCGTCTCGACACTAGTCAAGTCAACATTCCACGTCGTGATAAAGGATGCTCAGGCATACGTAACACAGCCCAAGCGTCTCAGTCGATGAAGATTCATAACCTCACCAACTGATTTACCATCATTCGCTAATACCCAGTGTTTAACCTCACTATTACTTACCCAGTGGTCCCAGCAGATGCTGGCAATATTTCTAAGGCATCTGTGATCAAATACTAGTAGCTTACGAGTATCTTCTACTCTTAATGGCCACATTTCCCAGTTGTAGAACCTGTGTCATAGGTTTATGTACTTCTGAGGTACGCCTTTCAATGACAGACACTGCCACAAAACTTCTTGACCTACAGTCAACTGCTGCTTTTAAGTCAAGAAATACCACCATTGTCTGACGACGATAAGTATGTCTGTGTTCTAAAATCTGACGAATGGTAAATATGTGGTCGATGCAGCCACGACCAGGTCTGAAGCCAGCTTGAGTCTCTCGTGTTTGCAGTTCACGAGTCTTAGTTAGGCGTCTGATAATTATCGAGGCTAGTATTTTAGATATTATATTAGTTAAACTAATCCCTCTTTGGCTATCACAGGATGATTTTGACCCTTTCTTATATATTGGGACGATAAGTGATTGTGGCCAGTTAGATGGGATAACGTCTAACTCCCAGATCCTAGCTAAAATATTAGTCAACCTAATCGCTAAAATTGGACCACCATCCTTAAAGACCTCTGGAGTCAGTCCATCTGGACCAGCTGCCCTTCCTCGCTTCAGATTAACTATAGCCTTTTGAACTTCAGCAAGAGTTGGGGGACCTACTTCAATGTTCCATTCACGCTGTCTGGGAATGGAGGGTAGTTGTGAGTAGCTGAAGGCCAGCTGAACTGTTCTCTGAAATGTTCCGCCCATCGTTCTAAACGCCTGGACTGGGAGCAGATGAGTGTATCGTCTTTTTCCGATATAATCTCACTTACACTTGACTTATTAATTCCAGTTTCTTTTATTAGTCTGTAAAGCTGTCTTGTGTTCCCTATAGTCGCCGCCTTTTCCATCTCTTTTGCCTTCGTTGCCCACCACTGCTCACGGTTTCTTAGACTTTTTCTTAAGCTAGATCTGATTTGTTGTCGCTCTTCATCATGTTCAGAACCTGATGGGACGATTTTGCGAGAATTCATCAGTGTGATAGACTTTGAAAAAATCCACTGGTTCTTTGTAACTCTGTGGTTTAAGTCGCTAATAGATGTCACTGCTGTTTCCACAGCTGCTTGTATGTCTTTCCAAGCAACATCTGGGTCAGCCTCGTCTTCAGAACTACCTTATTGTGAACTCAGTTGTTCTTGGAACCTACTTTTGGTTTTCTCGTTACTCAACTCAGTTCTAATGGGTCTTTTTAATGTGGCTTTTTTTTGCGTCCGGTGAGGCGCAAGCAGATGCGTGCCCGTACTAGGGCGTGGTCAGAGTCCAAGCAGGTACTCCAGAATGAGCGACAATCTTCTACCGACACTCTCCAACGATGACTGATGGCAATATGGTCTATTTGAGTCCATCGTTGGTTTGGTGTAGGAGATCGCCATGTTAGACAATGTCTCTCCTCATGCTTAAAATTTGTGTTTGCTAAAAATGAGCGATTGTCTGAGCACAGTTGCAGCAGACGATCACCATTATCTGTTCGTTGTGCCGGTATACTAAAATACCCACCTAAATGCCTTTCTGTTTGGTTTAATCTACCTATCTGGGCATTAAAGTAACCTGCTACGAGTACTATGTCTGAGCGTTTAGCTTTCTGAAGAAGTTCAGAAAGCTTTCTGTAAAATTCATCTTTCACATCATCTGAGCTGCAGTCAGTGGGAGCGTAGGCAGAAACGACGAAAAGTCAACGACGTGTATCCCTATCCTTCCGAGTTCTTACGGAGCCGTTTAGCCGAACAGCACATAGACGACTGTTGACAGGGATCCACTCTAGCAGTGCTTGTTCCGCCCTCATACTTAGTGCTATGCCTACACCTGCCAGTCCACGAGAACTGGCCATCGGGTCACCAGATACACGGAGGCTGTATCTCGTTGGCTCTCCGTTTTGCCGAGGTGAGGTCAAGTGAATGACCACACTGGAATCCTGTATGCGTGTTTCGGAGACACAGCATACATCAATGGAAAGAGACTCTAGGGTTTTAGCCAAGGAAGTTGGAAACAGCAGAGTGGTTTGCTCGGCAAACTTTGTGTTGAAGGTATCACTTCCCACGACTGGTCAGCGCTTAATTGGGGCTCGGGAACAGCGAACCATCGATATATCAGATTAAATACTTATCCTCCGGTAGGTTTTAGGACATAGGCAATATACCGATACCCTACTGAGTTATTCCTTGGACAGGCTGTGGAACTCGTCTTCGTCAAGCAACAGGTATCGTAGCAATGTTAATCATTGGATATCTGTCGACTTGGAGCTTGCGACAAATTATCATTAGATTTGGTAACTTCGAGGTTTTCATCAAAGCTCTCTGTACCTCCATTTTGTGTGTAATTTCGTCATACGTACTTCATGTCTATTTCGAGATCAATATCCTATCAGGCGACACACATATGGGGCACACGAACAATCCAGACATTGATCTGCAGAAAGTATCAGGACTAAAACTCTACTTCTTTTCTAAGAAACAATTCAATAATGACCTATTTCTGTTTGGTGAAGATTTTAACAAAATACAGCGTCTCAAACGTCTTGGACAACACTGTAGAAATATTGAGTTGGTGAAGATTCGTAGATCAGGTGGGTGGTTTAGGTGAAGTTTTGTTCTCTGAGCTAGGTGGTTTGGTCGTGGAGCTTTCAATGTTCTGACTGACATTACAAACTTCAGGTAGGCTTCTACTTGAAGTAGAAATATCCTTAGGTCTCCATAACTTTCAATCTGAAACGTTGCATCGGGACTGACCAGCCTCCAAGGAGTAAAGTAACTAGATAGGTAACAGCTTAAAATCGGTCTCAGTGGCACAAATGCATTTATTTTGCTTCCCTAAAAATCCGGAGTTTCAATTTTATTCTGTACTTTTTATTAATCAGTCACTGCTCCAAAACTATATTCTTTGTGCTTAGTTGCATAATATCATCTACATTACCATTATTTCGACTCCGTTGTGAAGTCAGTCTTTTTTATCACGGTTCAATAGGAAGATGGTCTCAAATATATCGAGGATCATCCATCCTGAGAAAACACGGTTTCTAACAGTGACTCACCAATAATCGAAATTGGTTAAGGTTTTAAGCGTGTCACCAATCGAGGAAGAAAGTATTTGTGCTCTCTATGGTATTTCTGATATCTCTTAAAGGATCAACTTCGTAATAGCATCATGATAAGTAAATACAGAAATTAATGTGGATTAATTGATTTGAACCATCACGCTAGCATGGAGCAAGGTGTTAGATACTAGATGGCTGGGTGTGTTTTCCTTATTGTTGCAGTTAAGAACTAGTCTCTTATGGAATCGACTAGAAGAATGAAGTTACAAAAAACATGATATCCATTCTCGTGCAATACAGGGCCAGACCTAGTCTTATCAACAGCACTTTGTATTATATATAGGTCAAGATGAGTAAAAATTTAGCTGAGTAACGAAAATAAGTGTTCATATACTAATCTGTGAAATGAATCTATTACATGAATGTTGCTAATATCATGTGGATATTATGCTTTGATGTGTAAAACGATGTTCGGGTCTATGTAACACGGATTTAGAATCAAGTGCCTAGAGAAGAAAAAAAATGCACATATCACAAGTTATTTAGGCTTCACGTTCAAGTAGTTATCAGAGGCGACTGAAGAAGTATCGATTAGTATTCTAGGTTACTTGATACGGTATAATAGTTGAACCATAAATGGATTAGTCAGTGGAAGTCTTGTCATCAGAACTGTTCAAAAATGATATTACAAGAAAGTTAGAATTAGTTGCAGAAACAATGTTCGTTATTAGCTTCCGAAAACATACGTATTAGTTAGATAAATCCGATCATGGGCGAGCATAATGTCGACCAGAAATGAACAAATAAAACTAAGACTGTACAAATTTCATAAAATAATGATTGACCAGAGAAATAGGTAACAGGAGAAATATTTTCTATTAAAAAAAGAAATGAAAAGGTAAAGAAATAAATTAGGTTTCAACAAAAAAATATGATGGTAAAACCAAGTAGTAGACAATGTTCACAGTTCGTTACAGAAGACACTTTTGCCATCCTTCAGACATACAGAAATAGAGTATGTATTGTTTTCTGAATTCATAACAAAGATAATATCATAAATCGTCAATTACAAAAACGAATAGAATAGGAGTTTCCAACTCGATGAAATAATATATTCAATACTTTTGTTGTGATCAATTGAGGATAGAATAAATGAGTTATTTGAACAGTTTTCAGGTATGCAAACAATTCGTATTTTGCCTCGAAATGATAATAAAACTAATAATTATGAATCAGGATGAGTCTTCATGTCCAACCAAAATAAGGAGGTTTGAATTAGACATTGGATTATCACTTGGCCTACTCTCAACAACGATGTTCCTAGTCGGATAGAAACAAAATCAATATGAAAAAAGTAATAGTAAATAAAATATGAGACAGTGGGATGGTTACTGGCTTCGATTCATAGGAGACGTATTGTATATGGTTGGCTCAGTTACCAAAAAGGCAAAGATGAATAATGAAATAACTGGTGAAAATCTACACAACTGTTTTCAAACTCTCCCAAACAGTATCAAAACTAATGTTTCTGGATTACCTATTATCATGAAATCTTCCTAAATGCTTGTCAGTAAATGAATTTCTCTCTATATATTAGGATAGTAATATTATCAATGTCAAAAAATTAGGAATGTTTACCAATCATTGGCTTACCGGTCACTTCCTAATAGTCGATATACATGTTTATCGTCATCAATATCTTGTGTAACCTAAAAATCCATTAAAAACATGATGGTTACAATATTTTGTACGTCAAATAAAAGAATTTGTTAGATATCAGTTATTAATTAGGACTATTGATCTTTTTAGGATGATATTGTGTTTAAGAGGTTGAGGCTACTGACCAATAGTTTCTTTTGAGACCATCTAGCTGAACTATCATACGTATTTTCTTCATACCAGTTATCAAGTGTCAATGTGCTTAATTAATTATAAAATACAGATATTTATGAATAACTGCTAGTAATTTGGGTAGCATTGGGCTCAATATATACAGAAACATGGGTAATTTTGTGGGAAATATTTTGTACTTTCTGATGAGGTGATGCACATATTATGGATAATGGAAATACAGACAAATGAATGACAATTTTTAATCACTAAAGTAGTACCTTACTTTTTTGATAGAAGAATGCGTCAGTTTCTATTAAGAAGAAAGATCTTTGTATGCATTGGGTGTGTGATATTAACGATGTTCCTAAACAGGATTTATTGGAGCATGTATGTAATACAAGTTCACTAGAATCATAATGCAACAGATCTTCATAGTTTTATGGAGACTGTTCAGTTTATAGTTCAATTATAAAATGGTTTTAGCTAGACATCCATTTAAACCAGGTCGTTTTGTTCAAGCTCCGCAGTTAATCAAATAAATAAGACAGTATTGTGGTCTAATAGATTAAACAGACGATATACAACAGTTCGCACCCAATCAGATAGTAGTAGCGATACACCCTCACACACTGTAGGTAAATGTGAGAAAATCTAGTACATGAGCTTGTAAGTGACCGTTGAGTTGCATTATCACATCTCGTGCCCAAAATGAAAAGGCTATCACGACTAATAAACAAATTAAACTTAGGGAACAATATTATCATTAAATTTCTTAATATACTTGGGTCGCCCATAAACATTTAAGTCAATCTCCGTATAATAATCTATAACCAATTACTGCCACTGAGACTATCTTTAAACTATCATATCATGAGTAAAATATTTTTGCTTAAGAATTTGCGGAAATTAATTATTATTAGATCTAAAGAGTAGAAATACTTACCCTACCGAAGAAATCGATACCCCTCAAACCATGTGTATGAAAAGCGAGTACACTGTCGTGCAATCGAACTATTAAACAAAATGAAATAAATATGCGTTTGAAATAAAACTTGGAGAATCACATAAAATGAGTCTTTTATTCACACATAATTTGTTTTCTTAAAGGGAAATCAGTTCTTAACAAAAGTAGGAACTAGGATACTTTTAACATATCCCTTTTCTTTTAACAACTAAAACTATTTAGTAAACATCTAATTCAAGTTGAAAATACTAATTTCATTTTGTTCAAACCTCTAATTTTGTTGAATGTGAAACAGTGACTGTAGATATTTTCAAGAATAAAAAGACTAAATTTTATGTATGGAACAAGAATTACTCCGTCGATTAACAACAAAAATACTAAACAGAAATGTTACTGTCTAAATGTATATACAATTGAATTAAATGATATGTTTACGAATCATCATTACAAGATTCTATCAAAAAAAAACACAGAGTAACAGAAAACCTGAATTCATTATCATAATAATTATAAAGTGGTTTTGTAGGGATTTTATGGGGTAATTTTGATAAATAATTAATATCACATGGAGCATCATCTACTGCTACTAGGAAATGCTGGTCAACTAACTGTATCATTCTAATTTAGGACGAGCTAATTAATAGTGGATACTGTGAACCTGACGTGAAAGATATAAGTGGGCATTTCCAGGTAGTGTTGGGTACACAGTATATCTAGACCAATAATTAGGAATTGAATAGTTCATATTAATAACTTCAATCAATCTGTAGCATAGCATAATACTCTTCTGATGTCCTTGATGAGTTAAAGCCTCATTCTTAAAATTACTGTTAATTATGACTTTTAATTAAACTTTAGAAAAATCCATTTGAAAGCCTATTACAACTAAGCCTGCAATTATGAATTAATTCAGTGTTTTTAATAATTATCTATTTAGTTGAATTTAGTTATCATCACGGACCGATATCAAGTGAAGAAATGTTGTATACTACTAAGAGCACTGAACAATTGATTACAATCATTTTCCAGTTAATATCAATTCATGACACAAATAAAAAACTATCTTCGATTTGAACTAGTCTCTTAATAACCCATCCAACTTAATTGAGGATAATTCTGTGAAATCATAAACAAATTTGTACACTGTTACGATCATATTACAAAACAAGATATGATGATAAATTTAAATATACCAATGGATTAAGTGAAAAAGTGCCTTCAGAATATTTAACAGTTCATAATCAATAATTAAATATTACAATGAAACAAGAATGTTCAGTTGTCTATAACAAACTAGAGCAAGATATATAGAGCGTAAAATAACATTGAGTATAATTTGTAAATGATGTTAATTATTAATTTTTAATAAGGGGAAATACGAGTCAAAATATCTTAACTATGGATGGGAATAGATTGGAGTGTTTGATTTGACACTAAAATGTACAAACTCATCAAAATTATAAAATAAAAACAGATTACGCTTAGAGCACAAGATGCACCAGCAAATGTTTGTGAGCTCATCAATTGTAACGCCGTTAAGCTTTGAGGTACCGATTGTCAATATTCTGTTATTTAATGTCATAAACATATGGTTTTAAATATAATAGAATATATTTGAAGTGGAAAGTACACTTCAAAGTGATAGTTGTCTACTTTTGTCGACGGATTTGAGCTAAATAAATAATTCATTTGTTGAACTATATCAATGCAAAGTTGTAGGTTATTCAAAACATTAACTATAAGGAGAGCTCTAGGAAGTATGTTTTAATAATATCTTAAATAGAGACTACATTAGCTTTATATAACAAATTCAATCAGTTATGTAACTGAAAATAAGAACATACTCATAACGCGTTTTCAAAAAGATTCACCTCTTAATGAGTTTAGTGTCTGACAGGTTATTTCAATCTTTCAAACAACGGCACTATCCATTCTGTGTTGTCATACTTAATAGATTTTCTGAACCCACAGTGGTGGGAGTGGATACGTTACGTGGTACAAATGTCACATTATGTAAACCGAAATATGATGTTAGCTAATGTGAGTTTAATTTGGAAAATTGCTGTCGATGACGAAATCAAGACATGATACAAATCCATGAAGTCTTTAACAACTAGTCTATTTCATGCATGGATACTTAGACTTCCCGGATCAGTTCTTTAGGACGAGAGAAATTGACCAGAAAAACTTCTAAAAGGTGGAATAAAGTGATAGTTTGCTTGATCCAATAATGTCACATTATTCATTCAAAGAAATATTTATGTTTTCATTTACAGAATTACAGTTATGAAGAAATCGAAAAAAATCGAAAAATACACAAAACAATGATATTCAAGCTTACCAATAGAGTCAACTGTTGTATCGAATGGGAACTTGGCTATTCGCCCATCTCTACTAACTAGTACACGTCCATTCATATTCACCATTGTGGCGTGTGCTAATCAAGAATAAATTAAAATACGGTAAACATTGAAACATCAACAGACAGAGAAAAAATTTATTACTGAACGGAAAAGTATACTACAAGAATAACATGACCACTGAAAAAATTTAATCCAATGATAAATGAAAGCCATTCCAAGAAATAATAAAAGGTAAAATTCAAATACAGTTTTATTCAGCAAACAACATCAGACAAAAATCATTCTATATCATGAAATCAGTGATATTAGAAAAATACGGACTATTTATATTGTAGCTTAATAGTCTGACAAAAATATAGTACTGCTAGCCATATGAAATAAATGTCTTGAGTTTTAACTCATGTGAAACTATAGACATGTACACCTACGAACCAATTCATGACTACGGTGAAACATATATTCATTGCTTTCTACTTTATAATTATTCTTATGTCGATCTCAATTAAACACATGATTAAAACAATCTTTACACATTATCTAAAATTTAAAAAAAAAACACAGCAACATTAACTATTTTAGCTTTTAATATTCATTTCAGGCAGAATAAAATAATATTATAAGCAGAGGTGGATGGTGGCTAGCAGTAAAATCCAGGATGCACGTTCCATCCTATTTGAGACTTGTCAGATGGATCTGCCTGCATCCCAGAGTTCATGTCCACTCCGGGACTCGGATATATTACCGTTTGCTTCAAACGCTATCGCATCCTAATATTCAACGGGAATATTCAAGCAACCAATACAAATAAATAATAATGGTAGTTAATTAGTTGACTTACTGGGAAAACAAATTAACAACGAACGTGTATCAAGCTGTACAACTTTAATCACTTGCAACTGATCTTCAACTGAAATCAAAACAAAACATACAGGGAATATAATTTGAGACTAAAAACAAGATAAGTGGACAAATGCACATCATCAATAGTATGCATACAGTTATTTCAATGGAATGTAGCAATACGATAAATATGTAAAAACATCAATAGACGAAGTTCATTTATTTAGATGGTGGTTGGAGGTTGACTACCTCCAACCACCATCTAAATCTCAATATATAGTGCCCGCAGTGTCGAGTCACCTAGACTGGTGGCCACATTGCAACATGACCGATAGCATTCGATCTGCACTAATAAGGACTAGACAAGCATGACATTGATCACCACCCAGTGATCAATCAATTGTGAAGTTCATTTATCAAAGATAGTTATATATATTTAGCTTTGAGGTGTAGTTCTCGTATGAGTTAATTATACTAATTGGCCACCCGCAAAATTAAAGTAGATGGAGCGGTAGAGCAGGTCTTCTTGGAAAAAAATGTATAAGGACTGAATTGATAGTTTACAGTGGTATAACATGTTATTTTGGTTATTTGAAGCTCACTATTAGAGTTTACATGCAGCCTCTTGTGTGTATATTTTATTGTGGTCGGATTAAAGAACTCAGTTATCATTTACTTTATTATCAATGACAACTTCATAAAATAAAAGATATCTATCAATATTGATGAACAGTTTGAACCCATTTGATTTAATACTACGAAGACCATCATCAACGATTAGACAAACAATGTATATGTAAATATTGTGTTAAATGACTGGTTCAACTGGGTCTACGGTTATTTCTTATTGCAAACAATTGAAATTGTTCTAACACGAACGAAAGCTAATGCAAACTCGATAATACAACAAGTGGCACACAAAACTTCATCAATAATCCCCATACGACGGAATCCAAAAAAGAAGTGCAGAAAAATCTTGAAATTTGGCGAAGATAGAACTAAAATAGAACAACTCTGTATATATAGCAGCAAAACATGAATTTAAAAACACAGGGAAATTAGTCAAGTGACAATTAGTCTAAAAACCAAACGTTGTGGGAAAATATGAACTTTTATTAGCGTTACAGGAAAAAATCAACATCTATTGACACAAGCTAAATAACTTGAGGTAATTGCAGCAGCAATCATCATATGAAAATAAATTATTGTAAATCCCGATGCATACAAAACTCCCTCTGAAAATACAACAGAAATACTATAGCATATACTTGAAAATTATACTTGAAATAATCTCAGCGATAGAAATTTAAATAATTCCAACGTTTCGTTCAGCTAACTTGTCTGGACTTCTTCAGGGTAATAATCAAGTTACGAAATCCCAACCAATTACTAATATGCCAAGTTTAGAACTCCTATATTAATGACCCAAAGTTATAATACATTACAAGCCAACAGTAATATTTTCCATCAATACGAGTGGTTGACAAAAAACACTTCATTGATGACCATTTTTCTCATATAATACAAACTTGACAAACAAAATAGAAGTTAGAATATTTGTATCAAAGTGAAGTAAGGATAGTTTTGGCTTATTACAAGATAGCTAACATCAGCGTAAATGTAAAATTACAGACAACGTAATAGCAAAACAGATTGGTTACTACGAATTTCACATTTCATTTTAACATTGACAAAATTTAAATAACTTCCTACAATCACTCAGTCGAGGTAACAAGAGTTTATTATTGAAACAAATGTTGTAAAAGAACAACGTATGCTATCTAAGCGATTCAGTTTGATGCGTTCAATTTATTTAGGCATACCAGTAATAAGTTCGACTATAGTCGATTACTGTATTATGGTTAGGAAGACTATCAGTTCGTAAGATGGGGTTCTTTTTAGTTGTCGGGATAATCAGACTGACATTCAACAAACAGATTTAAATATAGTTAAACCATGTAAACAATTGTTAAGCATAGAAAAATGATCAGTTCTAAATGCTCACAGAGACAACAAATTAGGGATGGTTTAAATTACATTAGAATTCTTGTGACGATGGATTAGTGATTAAATTAAAATTAACCATACAGTACCAATCATGAATACTCCCAAAGTTGATTTGTTTAACTCAGACAGAAAATGATGAAATCATTGAAGACTACATATTTGTCCACATATGCAGACAAACTAGATAACGAAATCATATGATTCCTCTAGCACAAATACCATAGAACTATAATGCCATTTATTACAAAATGTTAAGCATCACATGCACGTTGATATTATGATTTTGTATTTTTAACCCACCCATAAACCCTCTGTTAACCGGTGTTCAATTTCACCAGTTATGATCAATACTTGAAAACTAGGTGGAAGTGTATTTAAACCATGTTAAAATCAAATTAATCATCATAACTAATAAATTTTTATAACTAGAAATAATAAAAATAACAAATGGATTGTCACTACTATTATTATTAGCGCTGAAAATGAAGTTGTCGATAACCACTGAGTGTAAGTGATTGACCGAATTCAAACTGCAATATTCAACCAGTTATGTGTATACATTTATACATGGGATATATAAACACATACATGGGCGTGTGTAACATAAAAATAAATAGATAGGTACACAGAGAATGAAAAACTAATCGATACAAACTAAGTGATCATTTGTGTGGTCATGGCGATAGACTTTAACAACAGACAGTAGTAACGTATACATGTGGTGTTACATAAAACATTTTTCACAAAAAAAACTAGTACACGAAAAGTAGGTTTATATTTTACAGTAAACGGCGTCTAGCCAAGAATAAAACTTAAAGGTAGCTAGGAGAACTTATCGGATTTCTAGTTTAATGAAACAATGAAGAATTTCGCTGAAAAAAAACGTTGCAATACACACATTCCGTTACATGAAATAATATTTATATATACACTGACTGAAAATGAAATTCTTTTGTGTTCGCTAAATTGTTTCTAAGAAACGATGTACACAGAGGTAACAGTTATACAAATAATAATGATTCAACCGTTATGTCAATGATTAACATTTGGAGTAATGATCGTTCAATGAAGTATGCTACTTATGAAAAATTTAAGTAGCTTGTATTGTTAAAACGATTGACCAACTTTTCTGTTTGAATATTTTACATGTAATTAACGGTTTCGATTTCCTTTATAAAAAAATCAATCAATTGGTGAGTGGTGATTTCTTTCAAAAATATTCAGTTGAGGGCTGATAATCATTAATTATAACTAATGACATACGTATTATTATCAAACAAAGTATATTCAGGTATTAAATGTGAGCACGATACCAACAACCAAATGAGTCGAAAGTCAATAAAAATAGTTCCCAATATTAATCAATGTTGAAAAACTACTCACCCTCCTCAAATACTTGACGTGCTGAGAATTCAAAAGTCATAGATTCCTATTACTGAGTTTTTACCCCATAGTCTAAAGATATGATGATCATTGAAATAATTTGGAGCGATAGTTTCGATCTGGCGTCTGTGCACTGTTACAGAATTTCAACATAGAATGGAACACATATCCAATGATCTATACTTTCTAATAATTCTATCAGTCAAGTCAATTTGTGTGACAGGAATTAATTTAAAATCACGATTTACCTTTAAACACTATTAACTATTATTATAACCCTACCCAATAAATACATGAATATAAGTTATAAAAGTTCTATTTTATAAAATTTAGAATGTATAAGTTTAATGTCTTTCAAAATACTTCTCTACATTTGCGGTTGTATATTCGTCCCATTGTTCAAAATGTCAAAGGTTCAGCTTTCCAAATAATTTGTTGTTTCATGTGTTGCTAGACTTTTGAGAACATAAGTTATTTTCAGATTCTGAATGTACGCAATTATCCAGACAGTGTATAAGGATTCGGAAAACGCAAAGGGCCGAATACATTCGACTTTTTCACCAGTCTATGAGTTCGATATACACTACAGTTGTACGTTAATAGAATGTGCAAAGGACTACACAAATAATTGTTATTCATGTGTCATTAATAAAAAGTTTTCTTAGTTTACCAATCATATCATTTGTTTAAATAATGAAAAAAACCAATATGTTCATTCAAATTGTTGACTGAATGTCAAATTTAAAGTTTGTAAATATTTTTATTATAAACGATCAGTATTTATTATTTTGTTCATATTACCGCATAACCTAGTAGATAATATCATTTCAGATCAATAAAACAAAACTTAACTGATTGATTTTTATTCAATTACATATGATCTTTCTAAAAACGGTCTTAGGTTTAATGTAAAATTCTCTGTGTTGTGTGTACTAATAAAAAAAAAGACAACTATCAATAGCGAAAATTGAATAGTATGCTAAATTTATACATTGGGATCGTCATCACTCATGAACATGAAAGTATTGTTCATGTTCAGTGCAAATCAACTTTTTCAAACATACTTTTATCATGTTAAGTGTTGCTTTTTAAAATTGTCCTCAAAATAAAATAGAAAATCAATGTCATTTATGAATTGCTGAATGAGTATGATGAAGGAGAAAGAAAGAGAAGAAATATCGCTATATAATTTGCATACTTTGTGTACTTCTCTCGGTGTGTTCACACACATGTCGGTTCGAATGAAAGTTAAGGTGAATTTATCTAAATTCCAGTTCATATATATAACGCGAGACAAAATCACTACTTTCGTTGTAAAGCAGTAATTAAATTAATAAATAAACGACTATATATGTACCTTGTTTAATTAACTGCTCAACCATTAAGAGTAACTAAAATTATCAATTGTCATATATAATAACAGAAAAATTACAAATTGATATATTCATAAAGTAGATGAATTAACGAAAGTAACTATAATATATGAGGACGATATTGAGCAATTCTTAAGATTACCAGTTGATCTTGAAGTCATGCTTTAGCGAACGAGTCGAAAATCTGTATAAATTAAAAATATTTTGTAATAAAAGTACTGAAATCTGTGACGGTATAGTGGTCTCGAGTTTATTGGGTTTCTTAAAGGATTATTATTAGTTTTCCAACCATGTGGAAGTATATGACCTCATCTATTCAAGCCAAAGGTTGTTTTCTGAATCATTTTTATAACTATAGATTATCTAGTAGAAAAAATACCGTCTCGTACCAGATCCGTCTATCAAGGAAGGGACGAGCATACTGCGCAGCAGTTCGTTCTGTCCTACTTTACGGCTGCGAAACGTGGTCATTAAGAGTAGAAGACACTCGTAAGCTATTAGTATTTGACCACAGATGCCTTAGAAATATTGTCAGCATCTGCTGGGATCACCGGGTAAGTGATAGTGAGGTTCGACGCAAGGTATTAGAGAATGATGGTAAACCAGTTGATGAGGTTGTGAATCTTCATCAACTGAGATGGTTAGGTCACGTGTTACGAATGCCTGGACATTGATTACCACGACGCACAACGCTGACTAGTGTTGGGAATGGTTGGAAGAAAGTTAGGGGCGGCCAAACTAAAATGTGGCATCAGTGCTTGAAGTCGCTAACTTTTGGTGTGAGTCATGTTGGTAGATGCAGACTACTTGATTGGGGTCTGCGTGACTATCGTAACCAATGGTTGGAGACTCTTGGTGACATGGCTCAGAATCGATCACAATGGCGTCGGTGTATACACTCTTTGTCTCCCTTTAAACTATGAGATTAAAATCACTTCATATCTTTCTTTCTACGAACTAATTCTTTCTTCCTGTATTATATCCTTATATGAAATCTTTCCTTTATATATTACATTATTGAGTTAACTGCTTCTATGAATCTGGTGTTCATCTTGCTGTGTTAATGAAGTGTGGCAACTTGGACCGATGGATGTATATGCCTGGTCCTACGTTGTAACTTACTGACTGACCAGATCTTTGCTAAGGAATGCTCTAAAATTTAGCGAGATGAAGTTATAAGACAACAATATGGAGAAACCGTGTGTGATAAACGTTATTTATTTTAGCATTCCTACTTCAATAGCCTGTTAACTATTCAGTAAACCAATAATAAAGTGACTGATCGGAGTTTGCAGTAAAGAAAGTAAATTGAAACAGAAACTCCTTGGTTCACGTGTTATATATAATTTAAGTAAAAGAATTAAGCATTTGATACTTTCAACATCATCCTTTTCACTGTGGGGTAACTAAAAAGAATTTCTCCAAATAATTTTAAGAATTTTGAGCCATAAACAAATACGCTTCTATAGGGAATTTGACATGATATGAGATAAATGTCATTCATTTTTGAATTTCGTGGAAAAAATAGAAAACAGTCTACTCGGTTCTGATTAACTCGTCCCTGAACTATAATTTAACCGACTTATGAATCGATTAAGATTTCCCTCAAGAGAAAAAAACAGAGATGTACATGAAAAAAGCGAGGGGACATGGTGGAAATGATAGCTTGTTCACAATATATATATATCCACAGAAAAATAAAAAAGCAACACAGCTTCCACTCCAAACCATTTAATTGTCACTGATTTCTTAATTATTCCATACTGTAATATAAGGGTAATGTGTAGCATATATCTAAACTTGGTGAAACAGTATATGTTTAAAAATTCATAAAAAACCGTAAGAACTCATATTTCTCTACTATACCAGGTATAAAGGTATTAGTTAAATGTAGTTGTATGATGTGAATGATATACATGATTTCAATTAAGTAAATCTTTCTCATATTTATAATATAAAACTTACATCGGCAAGGATTTGTATACCATGATGAATTTGAATTTTCATTTAAATTTACAAGATGCAATTTATAGACAAGTGGATCTGGGGTAGATGATACACCTAAGCATACTGTAGGCAAAGTTTGATTTGGATTAATTATTAAATCGAAATTAAGCAATGGATTAGGCATACATGGTACTTCAACCTGAATAATAATTTTTTGGAAATAAAGCAACAATTAGATAAAATATTATAAAAAAAAAACATGTGAATAATATGTGTAGATTTATTGGGTGAGTTAAATCTTCAAACATAATATGTTAGGAAGAAATCAATTTTAGACATCACATGTTGGTTCGTGGTGATTTTCATGGGTTTGAAATACAGATTATGTCAAAGAAGACTTTCTGCTGGGGCAGCAGCTTAAATTGACAAGCATAATTTATTATACATTCATCATCATTTATTATACCTACACCTATCGATAGTATTGCAAGCAGCATTGCAAAGCTCGACTACCAACTAGACTCTAATGATACATCTAATACATAGTTCGGACGATAGGAAGATTTTTAAAATTTGACTTGGTGGACGAGGATGATGCACGGAGGACTCAACTGCTGCTTTGAAAACTGGACCCGACCGAATAAGATAAATATTGTAAACTAATCTTAACTCAGAACCCATGTGATCGCACGTTTAATGATATCATGCTAGCAGTTTGGAGATAAGTAATTATTTAATACCCGGTACAGATGTTTGAGTGTGGTAATAAGTGATATTGCTAATGAATATTCGGTTTTAAACAAGATACCATCCTATTTCACTCGGGAAGCAAAAGCAATTCTAAAGTCCAAACAATCCGTCAGACACAAATCATGTGGTACCTCTAATTTTGACTCTACCATACCTAGTCCATAACATTTGATTCTATTGCCGTGAACATAAAGAAGCCAATATCACCGTACTGGTAGAGTGAAGAGTGGTATTTAGTCAGAATCTACCTCCATAGACAAAATCGTTGCCATTAGTGCAAATGTGTTGATCACCGAGATGGGTGTTGACACCCAGTACACTCTCGATTCTAGTTTTGACGTTAAAAAAGTCCATATTCAAACCTGTAGGAAGCTTCTTAATTTTGTTTGAGATATGTCAAATCACAGCCCACAGACAAGAGGAATTTTCATACAGTGAGTATCAACGAGTAGTCACCTCGGTTGCAGCTATAGACATTATCATCATATCACCAAAGCGTTGGAACGTACGCAAAATCCAGAGTAGACTGTTCGAACGACTTGCTGGGGAGATTACAGTGTACTATATGCTTCCGGGAAAACATATTCACAGAAGTGTACTACTTAACATAAGCTGATCTAAACTTACTCGGAAATAATTGGTTTGATTGACCGAAGTTATCCGATATGCTCTTAGGTACTGTATGTAATCTAATGAAACAACCTTGTAAATCAGAGGGTTATCCTATCATCGAAGAGGAAACAATTACAGGAGTGCTTTCCATAGAAGACTACCTAGAGCGTCATTTGTCAAATCGTGTTCGACATTCACTAGCGTCGGCTACAGACATACAATCCGAATACAACAACGACTCGTTAGTCCAGGAGTTCAGATTTGTCAAAAATGTACGGCCACCGAATCGTCTTAATGTAGAGCTAAAGAAACTCCTTAACCAACGTAAACTATTATGTATTGCGGATAACCGTTTTCTTTGTGGTGACACAAAAAAAATAAAGCTCTCTAGTTACTGACAGATAATTTTTTTTATTGGAGTGGGGTTAGACGTGTTACAATTTATCTACAACCAATTTTTTCTGGAGAAAACTCATCACACAGATCCGTTCATCGCTATAACATCCTCAGCCAACTAAATCAGTAGAGAAAATTGTGGACACATTCGAAAGGAGCCCTTGAAACCGGAGGGGGACAGAAAGTCAGCCGAGATACTGCACAACCTTTTACTTATGTACGGGACAGTATTCAAAGAATCACTTTCGAGTCGAAAATCAACAGTAGAAAATCTAATAGGTCGTGAATTGAGATATTATCAAAAAGGATTAGCTGTGAAAAAGTGGTCAACATCGGATCTCCTGTAGGTCTAAGATTACAGACTAAAACATGACAGAGTGGTCAATAACTGGGAGACGGGGTTAGGTAATATATGAGGTGGCGGTTAGAAGGGAAAAATGGAAAAGGTATCTTAATCAGTTACGATGATGCGTAGTGGGGAAGCGTACGATACCAACAAGCAACTTACAGATGGAGATACTAGCAGACAGTTTCAGTCTACCACAGTAGAACAACAAAGTAGAAAGAAGTATAGAAATGGCACAGCTAGGGCGACTAGACCTACGTCGCTGATGGCTAAACATACGAGGGCGGTGAACGGTTCAATTTTAAGTGGACCCACGACAATCACTATATTAAAGAAGAGTGTTAGGGATATTAAGTAGTCATGCACAACACATTAGGAAGTAATCAGTACTGCAGATCACATATTGATTAAAGCAGTTTTAATTTATTTATTTTCAGTGCACTTTGATTATACCAACTGATTCCGTGTGAATTACATTGATTTGACCTACAGTGCACTTTCATTAATTCACTATGATTATTTGGTAAGGTGACATTTATTCAGTTCGACAAGTTTTCTAACTAATAATCACTGAAAGCAATCATTATTTAATTGAGTGGTGTTGAACATGAATCATTCTTCTTCGGTATCTATCAGTAAAACTTTTAGACGAGCTAGAACTTCTGTCTTTAGTGGACGGGGAAGGAAGAAGTGGGTAAGCAGTGGTCATATTTCATCACCATTTAACATGGAGTCGCTAACTGGTAGCATAGCTCACAAACGTATTACAACCGTCAGTAAGAAATATATATGGAATTCCGAGAAAATGGATCTTTTTCATTAGCATTATGAAAAATGTATCAATGCGATAGGAAGACCTCAATTTATCTAGCTATTTCCTTTTATTATTAATTCTAAGTTCTAGTGGATGAGGAAGTCAACGATAACCTACCTCGGTAACACAGTAACTACGCAAACATCCGTTATTCTCTAATTAGATTTTTCCAGATCAAGTTTGGTATCTTATGTTTCCAAGGTCATCGTTGATATTGTATAAGCAGATCTATAGCATTATCTTTTTAACTTCGCCTGGAATAGAAAAGTCTTGCTGCTATACACCACCTTCTCTCTTATCACCATGATAAGGAAAATACTATTGAAGTGCTGTTAATTATGTAGCGGAAGCACCATGTTATGCATAAAGAAAAGCGGGGAATTTGTTCTAGATTTTAACCAGATAGTAGTAAGATATTCCGAATTCGATATTAAAAATAATAATTGTAATGCAGTAGAAAAATAACACTACCTAAAAGTACTGACTATGAATCTTTACAAATACATGGATTAATGCTAATTCTTCTTCCAAAGTGCTTACAATTAATAGTTACCAATTAAAAATTCTTTAACAATAAATTTTTGTTTTTCATTTGGTTTTATTTAATATACTAACTAGTTATTTTGCAGATATATTGTATTTCTTAAAACAATCACAAAATTTGTCAAAAAAATCGAAACCATGATCTTCAGGGGTTTATAAGTTGATATCAGTCTGTGACGAAAACTATCATCAAATCATTAAATTGTTTGAAGTTGGTTAAAATAGAGAGATTAATTAAAACTTTCTATAGGTTATGTTAAAGACAAGTATTGTAAACAAAGCAGCTCACAAGCTTAAGCTAAGAATATATTTCAGGAACAACTAGGAAAACAGTTAGGCACCCATGTATGTGATGCCCAACCTGGGGCAGCATGTAATGATATCCGGAAAGCTGTGGAAACAGTAGTGATATCTGCTAGTAAGGTTAGGGAGAAATACTGGATCTCAGCAGCACCCACTGCACTGATTGATACTCGAAAACTCACCCCATCTAGCTCTGAACATGACGAAGAGTGGAGTCAACTCAAGCGCAGGCTGATAAGAATCCAACGCAATGACCGTGAACAGTGGTGGGTAACGAAAGCAAGAGAGATAGAAAAGGCAGCGGCAATAGGTAATAGCAGACAACTGTTCAGACTTGTTAAGAAAACCAGTATTAGGAACCCGACTGCTTGCGAAAGTATTTCCGAAAAAGATGGACATATTATACATTCTCAACCCAGGAGATTGGATCGATGGGCAGAACACTAGGGATCAGTTCAAATGGCCTTCAGCCACACTTCGGTCTCCCACGATCTCCAGCCGACATGAATGGCAAGTTGATGTAAGTCCTTCAACTCTTTACAAAGTTGAAAAAGCTATAAGAAATCTGAAGCGTGAAAGAACATCAGGCCCTGACAGCTTTATCACCGAGATTTTTAAGGATAGCGGTCCAGTATTAGCAGTGACGTTGACTGAGGCCTTAGGTAGAATCTGGGAACTGGATGTAATCCCATCTGACTGGTCTCAATCACTGATTGTGCCAGTCCATAAGAAAGGACAAAAGTCCTCTTGTGACAATCACAGAGGAATCAGTTTGACTGATATAGTGTCTAAAATATTAGCTTCAATAATACTTCGATGCCTAATCAAAGCTCGTGAAGAGCAGATTAGAGAAAACCAGGCTGGTTTTCGACCTGGACGTGGTTGTATAGACCACATATTCACACTACGTCAGCTTCTAGAACACAGACACATATTCAGACGCCCCACAATGGTAGTATTTCTCGACCTTAAGGCGGCATTCGACTCTGTTGATCGTGAGGTTCTATGGCAGTGTTTGTCACTGAAAGGAGTACCAAAGAAGTACATTAACCTTATAAAGGCTCTCTACTCGAACACAACTGGTAGAGTAAGAGCTTATGGCGAACTGTCATCAGAATTGATTACCTCAAGTGGTGTTCGTCAGGGCTGTCCACTCTCTCCATTCTTGCTTAACTTTGTCGTTGCTGTGCTTTTAGATATAACAATTTGCTCATCTGACTTTCCAGGGGTTGAACTTCTACCGGGAGGTTCACTTGTTGACTTAGAATATGCCGATGACATAGTTTTATTTGGTGAAGACGCTAACAAAATGCAGAGTCTTCTGACCACTCTAAGCAACAATGCAAGCATGTTTGGGATGCGATTCTCTCCCTCGAAATGCAAAATGTTGCTTCAGGATTGGGTTACATCGACACCCGAACTAGTGATAGGGAGTGAAGTAGTTGAGTGTGTCGACCGCTTCACTTATCTTGGAAGTCTCATCAGCCCTTGTGGTTTGGTGTGTGACGAAATCTCAGCCCGGATACAGAAGGCTCGACTAGCTTTTGCCAACTTGCGTCATTTGTGGCGTAGGCGCGATATCCGTCTATCAGCCAAAGGACGTGTTTACTGCGCAGCAGTTCGTCCCGTCCTACTTTATGGCAGTGAAACATGGCCGGTAAGAGTAGAGGATATTCGTAGGTTACTAGTATTTGATCATAGATGTCTTCGAAACATTGCTCGTATATCATGGCACCACCGAGTAAGTAATGCAGTTGTTAGAAAACGGGTACTAGGTAAGGATGGCAAATCAATTGATGAAGTAGTGAAACTTCATCAGTTGAGATGGCTGGGACACGTGTTACGTATGCCCAACGACCGACTGCCTCGACGTGCGATGTTTTATGGTTTAGGTTGGAAGAAAGCTAGGGTCGACCAGACCAAAACATGGCACTAGTCCGTGAAGTCACTGACAAGTGGACTGAGTCATGTTGGTAGGTGTAGACTACCTGGTTGGGGACCACGAGATGATAGCAACCGATGGTCAGAGACCTTGAATGACATAGCTCAAAATCGCTTCTAATGGCGCAGGTGCATCCAATCTTTGTGTTCTCCCGAATTCTAATCTTCTGAGTTTTTCGTGTCTCCTTTTTCGTTTTCCAAATTTATTTCACTGGATTATGCTGCTTGAATAACATCTTCAAACCCTAATCTTTCCGACTACTGTTTATACACTTACTATCTCTACCACTATGGAATTTGAATCGACAATTGTATCTCTGTGCTAATGCGGTATGACAGTTTGAACTGATGTACGTACGTACGAAGTTCTACTTTGTTTCTGACGGACTGACTGAGCTTAAAAACTTATGACTGGCTGATACTATGTAAGTAAAAGCATGATCACAACATAGGTACGTATTACCAAATGCGACGGACCAATGTGTTAGACATTTATTGAGAACTAGGAAACACTGGACAGCTATAACGTTCTAGTATGAGACTCCTCAACAGTGCTCACCTACAACTTCACGATCATGAGTGGAAACCAGGACCCTCAGCTTGCGTGCAAACGCTTAATCACTAGACCATTGAGCCGCAATTCATTGGCGTATATGTTTAACCTCAAAAAAATCTATATTGGAGCCCAGCGTTAACGCGTGAGACCGAGGGTCCTGAGCTCAATCACCGGTTGTGGGTTTATGGATGCACACTGGTGAGAAGTACCGTACCAGAACTTATTAGCTGTTCCGTGCTTTCTGGTTTTAAGTGGATATCTAGCTTATACTGATTCTTAATATCAATACCAATCAATAATCTCCACAAACCTCCACACACATACGTTGTTAAGTGAATAATTTATGAATATCCATTTATTAAGATAGTCAAAACCTGTGTCGCTCTGGCTTAGACAATGTTGGATAGGATACATAGAGGTTCGACTCAAGAATTCACTAATCGTTTATCCGAAGAATTTCAAAGATGACTGACTGACTGAAAGAACCATAGACTAAAACACTTGTTTCATATTCGCTGAAAATGAACAAGATGGTACAGATGTATTCAATATTCCTTTTGTTGTTACTGATACTTACTATTATATAGGAATTCAAAGTTTTAGGATTATGGCTGTAAAGTGTACTAATTAGAAGATATCAGGTTCTATTTTGCTCCATTTAATTATTTCAAGGTTTAGTTCATAGGCTAAAATTAAAAAACGGAGTTAAGAGAATTATACATATTCACAGAGACTTACACGTTTCACTTCAATAAAAGTATTCCTTGGATTATACCATTCCATAACAAGGATACTTTTATCAATAGCACCACATAAATATTTCATCCCTTTGAATTGATTACGTACTACAGTTGCAATGTAACAACCCCGTGTGTCTGGAACTTTGACAGTTGGTTGAAAACGCCTTAAACATGATAGTATGCGTGTAAAAGAGATAAAGATTAAACAGACATTAAAATCCGACATACCATTTCACCATCCGCCCACCTCCACAATCTCCCCCTCCCCAAGAGGAAGAAGTCGTAATGCTCAGCCTAACGTCAATTATTTAAGAGTAATTTAATGTAGTAAACTAGTCACCATTATGACAAAGGTAAGTGGTATTGTAATAATAGGTAGTTTCCGAAACGTACCAAAGAAAGAGAAAAGTAGTCTTTAAAAAGTGGCACGAAGGAAAAAAGAACAACTATCTGACTATTTGATTTGAAAAAACATCTATTAAAGTAGGTTATCTAAACAATAGCAATCGATGAACGTATGTAATAGGCTTCCAATTACAAGCTCTTTCGTACAAAAGCTAGTGATACTACTCAGCTGACTAAGACGAATTTGGGGTTCGAAATTGCTGTGTGACAGTTGAAAACTTAGTGGTTTTAATTACTAAAATACTAACTAGATTTAAGCAATGCTTAATCGCTAGATCAATCGGCAAATATTCATTATTTTAAGAAAAATTTCCTTGACAGCGTTAATGCACATTTTCTCTCCCATAGAAAATTAACTAAGTTATTGTTCAACACGTCTTCAACTATCGCCAGATGCATCAAAGTACTTTATATCATTCTTACATCTTTATACGTTTTATCATCGAAACGGTTGCGTAGATTAACATACGGTACAATCCTACTTTTGTCAGTTGCAAAAAATCCCTACTCCATTTAACTGTCTGATCTTTCCATTAGTTTACAGATTATATATGATAACTTAACACACAGACTATAAAGTACATCATATATTGCCATTTCACTATATACAGATAAAAAGGATGAAATAATTTTGACTGAACACAAAAAATTGTGCATTTTGTTTATAGTTATATTTCAGTGATCATCGTCACACTCATTCATCAATCATCACCATATTGCAGATCAATAATTTAAAACAAACTGTTCAAAACTATTTAAATAGATTAATTTGAAAAGGCACATTTTGTAGTTGTTGTGATGTTGGCTGTCAACAAAAAAATGTACATGCACATCCATTTAGTTATTTACTGAAATCGGTATCTTGTTTTTCTCTTATAATTAAACACAATGGATGACTAATTTACTAAATCTGTTTTTTATGTAACAAATTTCAAATAGTGTTTAGTCGTGGTAAGCATTATGCCAGCTAGGTGTATGAATTTCGAAGAGGTCCTAAAAACAATTCCATGGGACAGTATTGAGTCATAGATGAGCGATTCCAAGCTGTCACAACTTACGAAACAAAAGAGAACCGTCTAATACATTTTGGTTTCTAATGATTTTTAAACTAATATTACTTCATGATAAGAACTATAAATAAATTCATAATACTGAATGACCATACGTTTTTGGCGAGAATGTATTCTTTGAGTTAGATGGTATAACCTTGAAACTTTCATTATCTTTCCTGATATTTGTCTGCAAAGAATGACAGGATAAACGTTGACAATAATCAATCAAATTTAATATCGACAGAATAAGCTGTTAGTTTACTTGTAGTAAAGTAATGTAAGCTTCAAATTGAAATTACCTTGATTTTGGAGAATACAAACCTACCAAAATCATTGATCTTGAATATCAATAAAAATTATCACTACTATTTCGATTATACATAAATCACTTCTAAAAATATGTTTGTTCAGTTAGTCACATATCGCCTGAAACACTTTATCATCTTATAACTTCTACATTCTTTACTAATATATCGTTACATTTCAACAATTTGAGGTGGATGTAAGTAGCTTATAATTGAATCAATTAACCATACATATACAGAACATAGAAGCCTGAGAACAAATATACATATCCCATATTTTCCAGTCGTATTAATGCAATACGAAAAAGAAAAATGACTCGAAACAACAAAGATAATAATAATGCCAAGTGTATTGAAAATTAAATATAATCTGCCAAAAAAGGAATGGAATTTCAGACAGTCTAAATTATAATCCAAAAAGTTTTAGTACAGAGAGCACAAATGCTTTTGTAGAGAAAAAAATCTATTCAAAGTTTTACGAATGAATTTTTAAAATTAGATCTTTCCCATTGCACTTTCTAAGTCACAAAGTCAAAAGAGCGCATGGTGTGTGCATATATATACAAACACAGAGAGATACGTGTACCTGTTATCGGTTTTAAAAGATGCCGATAGCTGTTGTACAACAAGCGTAAACAGAGCTCCTCATATAAAATTAATTGGATATATATACATCATTGAACATTTGCTCAATTTATAAGGCAAAAAAATGATACAGTTTCCAGACCAATTGTATAATTGACTATGTACACGTTATAATTAAGAAGAGAAATATGTTGATTACATAACAATGACGACTGATTTCAAGAAATTATTGGGAAAACTTATTTCCTTAGTGCGTGAAAACTATCCTTGACTTATTCAGGTTATAATCGGATGGTGGACAACTGAACTAAAGGCCGATAGAGATGCTTCATAAAGTGTTTTCATTTTTGCGACAAACTATTAGAAAAAGGCAATACTTTCATTGACTATCTAGTCTTCGTTTATTCTGTAGGCTCGTAACGTGTCTCAAATACGCGGATTATTGAAGTCATTCTTCATGAATAATGACAAATATCTTTGTCGAGTAAACAGTGCTGAAATTATTCAACAATCCTGAGTAGCAGTCCGCTATCATTGGTGGAATCCTTCATGAAAGTGTTCCTTATATTCCAATAGACGGCGATAACTCATATGCAAAATTCATCCGATAATGACAACAGACGATTGCCAGGGACGAGTGGACTATAATTACGAAGTGGTTAGAATTGGAAAATGTCATAACCATCCATGGTAAATGGAACTGATGAATTAACTGAGGATTAGGAAAATGATGTAGTAGAGATTGATATCATACACGTTTAAACGAAATTAACCATTGAAGAAAGTGATAATTTACTTTAGGTAAATGATTTCGTCGAAAAGAAAATTTTCTTCGCTGAATTCTCCTTATTTTTATTTAATTTACTTTTCGTTGAATTTCAGTCACCCTTAACATGCAACTAAATGATGAAATACATTGTCTAGCATTGCATCTCTTGTCACGCTCACACAATAGGATATCTAATAAGTTTTCATTTCCAGCTTGTGAAAAAGAGGTAGATAATAATAGTGATTTTCGTTGTAACTAACATGGTCCACATGAAATAAATAAAACCTCTTGACATGTAAGAATGAAACACAGCGAGGGGACATATCCTGCCCCCAGAAACTTACTTATGAAGAAATCGTGTTTGTGATGTTCGACTTTTCATCAATGAAATTAAATTATGACTAAATAATTGAGGATGTTGACCTGATATTGACATCATTGTATCTTTGAATACAAATAACCAAAGACATCGTCTTGGAACAAGCTAATAAGTGGAAAACGAAAGAATAATCTTATGAAGCGGTCGTCTTAAAAAAATTGAAACGTTATGTATTTATGAAATTTATATCCCTTGTAATATATATATATATATATATATATATTTAACAACTAGAGCACTCTGTCAGTCAGCTACGACGTGGGACTAGGCACATATATGCATCGGTCCAAGTTGCCACATCTCATTAGCATAGCAAGATGAACACCAGATTCATAGAAGCAGTTAACTCAATAATGTAATATATAAAGGAAAGATTTCATATAAGGATATAATACAGGAAGAAAGAATTAGTTCGTAGAAAGAAAGATATGAAGTGATTTTAATCTCATAGTTTAAAGGGAGACAAAGAGTGTATACACCGATGCCATTGTGATCGATTCTGAGCCATGTCATCAAGAGTCTCCAACCATTGATTGCGATAGTCACGCAGACCCCAATCAAGTAGTCTGCATCTACCAACATGACTCACACCAAAAGTTAGCGACTTCAAGCACTGATGCCACATTTTAGTTTGGCCGCCCCTAACTTTCTTCCAACCATTCCCAACACTAGTCAGCGTTGTGCGTCGTGGTAATCAATGTCCAGGCATTCGTAACACGTGACCTAACCATCTCAGTCGATGAAGATTCACAACCTCATCAACTGGTTTACCATCATTCTCTAATACCTTGCGTCGAACCTCACTATCACTTACCCGGTGATCCCAGCAGATGCTGACAATATTTCCAAGGCATCTGTGGTCACTCACTAACCGAGTGGTGTAAACCAACAATAATGAAGTGCATTTGTAGGTAACATCTGTTGTGTCCACAAAACGTTTGTTTCACCTTATTCAACGTAACCATGATAACTAATTATTGTGTACAAGTACTAGAGAGAACCAGATCCGAAGACAACACGAGTCTACAAAGTCATCGACTAGTTGGACTAGGGTGTATTGTAAGGGGCTTGGGGAAATTTTAATTAATGAATACAGAGCTTAAGGGACATGAGATGAAATTAACCGAAACGATCCAAGTATACTCATTCATTATATTCTATAAAGTTGCTAAACATACTGTCGACTCCCAGTATTATTCGTTTCCTATAGATTTTTTGTCATAATTCTAATTTTAGACCAGTTCTGGTTTTTTAATCACTTTTTACTTTTCTTGGTAAGTTGGACAAATAAATATTTTTACTAGGATTCTACGTTATTCATGTCTGTTTACAAATAGATTAGATGAAATTGGAATCTGATTGATTGCAGAAAAAAACATGTAACTTCGTGGCACACGGTACTTATGTTACGTATTTGTGAAATTGTGATGTTAACTAGATAGAGGCACATAAAAATATATTTCTTTCTTAACTTTCATCTGCAACCATAAAGTAATGGTATTACAGTTAGGAAATACCAATTTATTTTCGATACGTTTTTTACTTAATCACGAATTTTCCCATGTGGAGAATCCTCCATTTTCGGAATTATCGATATTGACACGATCGTTAAAAAAAGTCTTTAAATTTAAACGAAATCCGGATCTTTGGAAAACGAGACGAGATCGGTCGAGTCCCTGTGAATTTTAAAACATAAATATGAACAGTAATAACTTTTGTTCATAGTATACATATCATTGAAGCCAAGTATTCGATAGAAAAAAGGGTAGAGAATTAATGATTTCTATGCAAAACTGAGAATTGAAACATATCCACACACGCACGTTCCAACATACACTCAAACATTCATAACAAGTTAATATGCACAAACTAATACATTTTAAAAAATACTATTGAAACGCAATTTAACTATTATGGACAAAGTCATATCCGGATTGGCTATTGAAAAAAAATATCATCTAATTTAAACAAAAATTCAATAATTGTGAAGTTTCTAAGATAGTTCTATGCTACTCACGGAATATATGCAAAATAGATTGAAACTTTTATATAAAAGTCTTCAGACAGAGATAAACATTGTATTTTAGGTTGTTGGAGGCAGCGGACAAGAAAGCATGAACGTGGATCCTGTTGCAGTAAGCACTTTTTAGCAAGGCGAACTTGTAGGGTTTAGGGAACTGATAAGTAGCACTTAAGAAATGTCATCACGTATTCTATTCAGATGAACAGTGATATTGTAGTGATTACTTAAATCACATTTTTTTCAATGAGAGTAAAGTAAGTTAGTCGTCAACATAGGACATGACAGAAATGTGTATTAGTCCAACTTCAAATTAGTTCAATGAGAAGAAAGACAGAATTATGGAAATTAAGAGTTGCAATGATTTTACCAAGGTTGTAAGTTAATCATGAGGAGGTAATTTGAAAACAACGAATGAAATCAGAAAGGAGGAAAACTATGAAAACATTTGTATCTCTTAAGTCGATAAAAATTTGTACTAATCCAGTACCTAAACCATGGATTGCCAATATGTCCACTTTTATCCTGCTAACCAATGCCTAAACTAGGCAATAGTACATCCTCGGGTAGGCAGAGACTGGGTTTGTGTGTGACACATTCCTCAACCACCGTAGTTAACGGAGGTTTAAGATTGCGTCAGATAATTTTCACAGGCAAGTAAAACATAGGCTTCGATCTTCGTCTTAATGTTGTATATAAATATCCCTAACGGAAATGTTATCAGATAGTTTCACAGTTATCATGATAGCAACAATTAGTTCTAGTGATACATTATAAAGTCAACATATATTAATTACATAAATGCATTTGTATGCACATATATGTGCGCACATCCAAAGCAACAAGAGATTCATTGATTACAACAATCAATTAATTTTGTAACCAGACAATAAAATAAATGCAAAGAGAAAGTAAAACACACTTACCAACTCTAATGTACCATCAGCTAAATTGACTAAATCAAGATAATAAATACCATCGTTCGTGCCAAACAGAATAATTTGACCTTCAGGAGGAAAGTAAAGGTAGTATAGTATGGTAAATTGTTCCGTGTGCAATAAACACACAAAATATCAGTGGCAAAAAACTTTCTCCACTAAATGACAGTCGAACTAATAAGCTTCTCCCTACTCCCAAATTTTTTTTATCTTATTTACATATACTACGATTTATAATAGTGATGATGGCTTTTAATGAAAAATAAACAAAGGCTAAGCTGTTTGAAATATGAACAACAAAATAAAAATGTTAACCAGTTGTTTAACAGCATTATCACTAAGGCATATAGTTCTTTTCTATCCTAATCAATTAAAGTGGATTATTGCTTAATAAAATAAAGCATAGTTGAAGCAATAAGTAATCGTTTGAACTGATTTTTTTATTGCTGAGTCATAAAATTCTATGACACCTACCCACCTACATACATATTCCCTCTCTCCCTATTAGATTTCCCTCAATTAATATGAGTGAACGCAAGAACAACGATGTATCTTAGAAAAATATTAGTTAATGAATTAAATCACGGGATCTAACAAATGTATCATTTACATACAGAATAATCATATTAAACCAATTAACAAATTTGATTATTTATGTGCAGTGTACTATTTTGTACATTGTCGTTACCTATACAGTAATTGATGGTATAATAAAATAGAGTGACGTATGTGATCATGAAAACTTTGAGAAAATGGTGAAGGATAATAAATAGTTTGACTTCAGTAAATAGTTTTCCCGAATGGGATAAAAATTTCATAGTAAGCAATTTTTGTAATTACCTCAACAATGTGTAAATAAAAATATTAATTAATCCATACAGTATTGCAGGTTGCTATTTGTCTGTTTGGCCTTTGGAATATCGGAAGCTTAGTGGATATAAGGCGTAGTAGAATAGTTATACAATACACTTAACTTGTTAGATGCAACGTTACCTTAATTTAGAGGGGGCTAATTTATACCAGTTATAAGTATGAAGTAGTGGATAACATTTCTAAAGGGACCCAATACTAGACATTTTAAGTAGCGTGGCCATCAGGATATATTTACATCTGTTTCTTTCTTGGAATTTATAACTAGCACTATGACAAAAAAAAACGTTTCTCACATTATATTGAGGTACTTTTGGCCAAGCTGTATTTATGGGGGCAGTTGTATGATCTATCTAGTCTGAGCATTGATTAAGCCCCTTAGACTCCCGGCGTAGGACCAATGGACACAATGACCTTTCATTGGCCAACGATTCAATGACAGTGAAATAACAGCCGAGATTAATGCTGAACGCTTATTAGTCCATGAATGCAGTTTGCCTAGGCTAGCTTGCCCAATAGCTATAACAGGACAACGAAACAGCAGATTTTTCAACTTTTATCTGCAAAATTCAGTTTTATGACTCTCACAATCAAAAAAAGAATAAAATCCTGATCATACATCAATATAATTAAGAAATTAAAAAATAGGCATATCCACGCCATAGGCGGAAGATAACCGAGCAACTTGAGAAAGATAAAACATATAACAATAGTTTATAAGTCAAACGAAAACCTACAACTAAAGGAATAAAAATATACAATAATTCAAGTATTCGGTAACTAGACAGTAAAATTGCGAACAATAGTTTCATGTAGAACAGTTTCCAAAGTTCAGTTGTGCTCAATATTTACCCTGTTATAGTAATAACAAATAAATTAGTTTTATTCTGCTTTTTCCTACAAATATTTAATTGTTCGCTTACAACAAGTATACAAAACAGGAGACTGGTTACAAGCTTGTTATGACTGTGTGGATTTTGTTAATTTTCACTTAGAATGACTTTGCTCGATTTCCGAAACGATAAAGTAGTGACTAGTCTATTAAAATAATTGTAAAAATCTTGGGACATGGGATAAATATGCACATATATAACCCATTAAAATTTATACAGAAAGCAAGAGTAGATCACTACGGAAAACAGATCTTTTTACGATGAATTCATTCTCATAATTGAGTATGAAATTAACAGTCAAATACCTTCTAGTAAAAAATATAATAAAAAACAAATTAATGTATTTAGAAGTTGTCTAGATTTATTGATAACAGGTTTCGTGTGTCAATGAACATTTTTTGCTTATAACTCGAGCGTGAGAAAATAAACACGTTGAGTTAATTTCACTAAGCGAAGATATTCTATACAGTGAGAAAAAGCTTGGTAAAACAGAGCTTTAAAAAATGCGTCATACAAAGAAGTAAGCGGGGAAATCATATGAAAATTAAATAAATCAACACAAGAATAAGATGTCTTCAGTTAAACACTTCCAATAAGGAAACAAACAAGACAGATTTACTTTAATCAAAAGAGATATATAAAAGTTTATACGCTAAATTATGTCTAAATAAATCAAGCAATTGAACTACACAATCTTTGAGATTCTAGTTAGATAGTTGTGAGGACTTAATAAATGTTAATCTAATAGCCTTATATCTTCCATTCTGCTTTTATCATAAACGTATCATATCTCTTCACTGTTTACATTCAAAGACGATCATAAGTAGCACTAATTTATACAATGCATCCTGGCTTTTAATGAAAGCACAATGGTATCAGAAGATACACCACTATTAACACAAATATACTGCTAGACTAATTCTATTGATTCATCACAAAAGACGAGTAACAGTATATACTTCTGTGCAGTGCTTCAATAGCTACTGGTTTAAAGCTTAAATCATAAACTTGATTAGTTTTCTCTTTAAATACCAATTATACGGTAGACAATAAGAACGATGAATTTAGTGATAATGTATAAAGTTTAATCGAAGCAATGAAAAGCATTCAAGAGAATTTCAAAAACATTCAATATTCATTTGTATACCATAGAATGAAGGTATTTAGTAGGAATATCCGATCATCAGATTTAAATAGTTAAAAATAGACCATCGGATAGATTTTGTTTAATAATTTGTTATTCATAGCCAAAAGGGGCTAACGATATACATTGATAGATGTGAAACTTGCAAAGGATCTGAGATTTTATGCACTGACATTATACTGAAGTTAATGACTTATTAATCTAATCTACGACAACAGGGTTATAGTTTGTGTAGGACAGTGAACCAGTTGAATGTTTAAGACTTGGAGGAAAATTGAAACTAGAATTGGTTTTTCCTATGACTGATAAGTTTATGTGGATAAGTATGCACTCTGAAGGTGAAGAATTCAGTAAGATTAATTAATCCAAAAACCTCGAGAATCTGTCAAAACCATCAGTTCTGAGAGATTACAATTCACACTTTTAAGATATTTAGCTATCAAGATCAATTATACGGAACGAGTTTATTGCTAAATTATGTCCCCGAATTCGTTTTTTTTCACATAAAAAGTACTACCAGATGTGATTGAAAAGCTACCTTGAACTATGCACATCTAAAAGAAATAGTTATCCTTTGACCACTCACTATGCTGTTTCAACGAATATCCTCTCCAACGATATGGGTGACAGTATTCAATTTTCTGAATTGTAGTGGAAGACCTGGTCCTAGTTTTGAATCCTTTTAAAAATAAGACAACAAGTAAGTGAGGAGCCTGAACTGAGAGCAAAATAGTTAACCAATGCTTTCTGATTCCAATGATTCTTCAACTGATATCAATTTATGATCTATCCGAACACATCCTAGTATTTTAGCGTTAAACCATTTAACTTAATACGGTAGTTATAATTAGCTTTCTTGTAAACATTACATTATCCTAGTATTAAAAAAACTACTAACCATAACATATCAAGTGTTATTTTAGAGAAACATGATCAAAGCTAGTTAATATTTCTTGTACTTATCCCCTCATAGGAATATATTTATTACTACTTGACTTGATTCGACGGAATGATAACCATTTCATAACTACGCGTAATGAACAATTTATTTATTCTGTAATAATCATAATAACTAATAATAATAATAATAGTATTATTCAATGGAAATTTAGTTCTCTTATATCAATTGGTATACATATACACATATAAAAACACACAAATACCCACGTAAGTGCAAACACGTAAAGAAAATTCCAATTTTGTTACCCACTTACTTATTATAATCATTATCAATAAAATTTATGTATTCTACAAAAATTACACTGAACAGAATAGAATGTTTACAAAATTATATACCGCAATCTTACAAACCTTTATCTAATAGTTCTTACAAATTGATTTCGAAAAGAATCTCTTTTCGTTTTGTTGAATAAAGATTTTTTGTATTTGAAATATTTTATCATGTTAATTATAAAAATATATTTGTCATCATCGAGAAGAAAAAAAACAACTTTATTCTGATATTTAACTAATTATGGTTTTGAAATTACTATATATGTTGAAGAATTTATCGGATAATAAAAATGTTTCTCTTTTTCTCTCGATTGGTTATGTTTATGTTATGATGGCAGACGTTTTCACTAAATGTTGTTATTATTATTGATATAGGCATTTAACTGTATATATATATTCATTGCAAGTGGATCCAGACGACCACGTGTACCCTTCAATGATAACATAGTCAATTTGAAATATGTATACATGACTACCCCGATAAGCAAGAATTTGGATAAAATAAGGAATGTTTTTAGATGTCCTAGTGAATGATGGGAGAAAATACTTGGCATATCATATTTCAGTCACCTTTAAAGCGCGAATAATTTAGTGCAATTTACTTGACACGTACTATTTTGTGTGTGTTCGGCTTTTGAGATATGCTTTAACCATGTAATGGGCTACTGATACTCAAGTGTCTGCACTGAAGTCGAGCAGGATTCGAACTTAAGAACTGATAATTGGTAGTTAAGTGCCTTAATCACTAAACCTCTACTTTACGTAAAAGACAATTTGATAAAAAGTTTGTCGATCATCTATCTACGTATTTATGTTAATTATGATGAAATCAATCACAGGAAGTTTTGAAATGAATAGAGTACGAAAAATAATATTTGGCAACTTGGAATTATTGCTTTTGTAAAGGATTAAACTGACCACCCCTTCCATCCACAACATGAATCTATATAATGCAGTTGAGGAACATGTTTTCTTACGGAATATTTTGCGTTAAACAATCGAATCAATTATGCGTTAAGTTTAAATATCTTCATCAAATAATAAGTATCCAATCTTTTGGAGATGTAAATATTGAACAGGATAAACTACTAAATAAGATGATAGGCTTCGAAAATGAAGATAATTGTAAGATATGTCAAGTACGTGTAACAAAACATTAAATTGATTGAAATACTTTGGTGTGAAGCAGTGGGTTATTGTTGAAAGTATTCAGGTTTTAACTAATAGATAACTAGTTTAAATTTCATTTTGTTTACTTTAATTTAAACAGTCAAATAGCAGTATCACTGATCCTAACATAAAAAATACTGCTCGAAACTCAGAGAGTAAAATTGTACATCGTATACGAGACCATTTCTTGTGTGGACAAATGGATAAAACCAATTAACTCTATAAAACCAAAATAATCAATTCAATTCAACGAAACGTTTGATTTTCAGTTATTTAATTACGCTGCTTTTTTATTTTCAAAAAAAGTATTCCAAAATATCTAACTAATTGGTTAACCTTATCAAATATCCTAATACTAATCTCATATCGAAATTAATTTCTACAAAGTTACCTTAAATTTAATTATGAAATATTTCAGGGATTATAGTTGTTTATCTGAATTTCAAAATACGTATAACTATAATTTCGGGCTTTATTAAAGTTTAATCTGTCTCTATCCAAAAATTAAACCAAGGCACTGATTTATTTTAATCCAAGGCAGGTCAAACTGACTTCTTTAAAATTTACTTCTTGTCAAAATGATAAAACTCAAATATATGAAAATATGAAGCATTAGAAAAAAAAGTAAATTATGTATGGTTGAGTTACAAGCAGAAATTAAGTTACAAATTATTACGAAATATTAATGAGCATATGAAACGATAAGAGAATTGAAATAAGGGAAATAATCCTACAGTTGTATTGTGCTTTTAAGAGATGTAGTTATTTAAAAATAAGGACAAATATAATGTTAGACTTCTATCAATAAGGTGATACTTTACAATATGGAATACATAAACAACGTATGATTACAACAATTAAAAGACTAAAACCGATGTTGTAGGATTATGAAGTTGAATGGAACAAAGTAATACTAATCAGTTTAATGTGTATTGCGTTGGTACAATCCTACTTGTAAACACTATTCACAAGTTTGGCATTAAAGTATATCATGTGGTACAGTATAAAATACAAATAGTCACATTTTACATGTAATTTATTTTAATTTCAACGTTCATTCAAATCAAGTTGCATGATGTTCTATTATCGATGCAACAATAATCATTTAACTATTTATAGGTATCAATGCCAAGGTTGGACTTGATAGTTTCAAATAAACTGAGCATTGGATAAAAAGTTAATATTAAGTTTGTTTTTTTTTATATAGCAATAAGTAGAAAAAAGTGGCTTACATTAGGTCACAAAACGTCAAAAAAATACAATTTTTCTACTCATTGGGATATAACAAAAAATATATTTATTATTCACTTAACTATTTATTTTCTTGTTCAATATGCAGACCTTCATGAAATTATGGTAACCGAAGTAGGGAGATTTATTTCACATTATAAATACCATTGAAGTAGTCAATCCAAAAAATAAACTTACTTAAAGTTTCTGGATTTACCCATGTAGCAGTTGAGTTCACTTTTAATGGACAACCTTCAAATATTTGCATAAAACAAGCACCCATCTGTAGATGAGAAAAAAAAGTAATAACGGAAAAACTGGTTAGAAACTCAGATTTCCTAAAGTAAACAATAAATAGAACTGAAGTGTTTATATATCCTCTTATATTTGCTAATATACAATAATGGTATTGTTTTTATTTCATTAATTTATATCCTCATGAACCGTATCTTCGATGCCAAATCTTTCCTATTACCACTGATATTGTCACTACTTTTACTCCTCTAAGATTTGGCATAATAATTTCATCTCTCTGTGCTAATGGGGTGTGGCAACTTGAACCGATGCACATACGTACCCGGTTCTACGTTGAGACTGACTGATTAACCATTTATAAATTATTATTATTCAATTTGATTTTTACTTTAAAACAGTTGGAATTCAGCAAAGGTTCCTTTATCACCATCATTACCAACAGTACAATTGATTAATAAAATGATTGAAGTACTAATTCAAAAAACTAATATAATACCTAAGTTCTAGTTGAATAAATTTTTAGGGATAGAACCACTGACTGAATATTTGTTTGTAAATCAATAATATCATTCAGTGTATCAAGTATGACATTATCAACTTGATTTGTGTAAATTACAAAATCTTCCAAATAAACTTGAATGTAGAATATAATCCGTTTTATAAATGTTCAGTTAATTATAATTTCTTTTAATTTATTCATCATATCATTTTGTTATTAACCTTTTATCATTGTTTTATTTACAAATATCATTTTGCACAGTAATTCGAAAAAAAATTTTTAATATGAATTTGATATTTCTCTATATAAGTGATGATTCTTCAATGAATATTAGTTTGTAATGAAATCGATTTTGAGTAATATTTTTTTAATAGTTGAATTCATGAGTCAATTAAAGCAAGATCATCTTTAATTGGCTCATGAATTCAACTATTAAATTACTAAAATTTCCACAAAATCCATTTCTGATATGTTTTTGGTTTAAAAAAAAAAACAAAGAGCTATATGTAGTCATTATAAATAATAATAATTTACATGAACTTTTGGAGTAGGAGGAAGACCAATACCCATTTCTAATTGATGTTGACGTGAAATATGCTTTGATGAGTCGTCATTTTGTTTACTATTTCGAAGAGGTGTTGGCAAAGAAGTTACACCAGTATGATTATTATTTAATTTAGGCGGTGGAGGTCTGGGTGGAGCTGGTGTTAATGTTTTATCATTATCATTTATAGAAGAGGATAATTGACCATTATGATTTATACTAACAGAACTATTGTATTTTCCAGTCTCATTACCATTATCATCATTATCATTTTCATTATTGCTCATAGAATCCTCTCGAATTATTTTAATATTATAATTTAATGTTATATCATTTGATGTCTCTTCAACATGATTTTCATGTGATGGAGCAGAGATACCATTGATGTATAACTTGTCGGTTTTTGAAATATTACTGCCAATATCCAAAGTAGACAAATTTATTATTTGATCTAATGATGAACACATATTATTATTATTATTAGTAGTAGAAGTAGTGTTATTTGTTGTAATAACGTTCAATGCTGTAGATGATGGCTGTAATGGTGGTGGTGGAGGAGCGCGTCGTTTCGAACGAGAGCGTGGCGCTAGAGGAATGTTCGGTTGTATTATTGAAGTATCATTTTGTGATTCATTCTTTGTAAAAAGGCAACAAGAAGACATAAAAATATTAAGCGGTAAATAAACACAAAAATGCTGCAATACCTTTCTACTTTGATGATTATTTAATGTTCATGAACCCTTTTTGATACTAATTTAAAAAAGGTTTCATCAATAAGCTATGTGACTTTATCTCAATGTTTTTACATGATGCTTGAATAGGCGTGGATTATTTAAACCGTTTCATTTCATATTTCGAGATGAGCATTTGTTAAGAAAAAAAGCATGGTTCCTGTTACGGAATAGGTTTTCAATGATTTTATGAATGAATTTTCAATAGTGAAATAACAGAGAATAGCGCTGATCGATAAATGAACTGCAATGATACGATGTAGTAGAGGAATCGCTGTCCACGACATCGAATTGATGACTTGAGTCGGCCTGCTTGAGCTTCTGGGCTACCTGTTCCTGCCATCTAGATATTTCAACAAGTTATCTATTTTTGTTTGTTTCAATATATCATTATGTTTATTAATCGCATGACCTATTCTGCTGCGTTTCTGAAAAGTGTACAACCTTTCGTTGTCAAAGTTACAAAAAACTCAATAAGAGACAATGTGGTTGCTGGCAATATATAGCGAAAAGAATGCACATTATTCAGATGTTCATTTACTGAACTGCTAAGATCTAACTGGCGATCACTCAATAATTATCGCCAGGACCGACCAAGAAGAAAGAAACGGAAACTTGTTGCAATACTTTACGCTGAGAATTCTATATTGTACCAAAAACATAATATTGAATAAAGTTGATGATAATAATAATGATAATGATTTGAAATTAAAGGCAAGACCATTGGTCAGAAGGATAGTTTTACCATCTGCTGAAACGATATGTTTGTATACAAAGTACCAACACAAAAAGACATAAATTATCATACGCCTTTAGAGGAAATCAGTTTGTAGGTCACTCATTAATCACTTAAGACCGTCGGAACTAATTCTTGGGCACCATATCAGTTACATGATAAACATTGAAAGACAAGATAACTGACAATTTTGATGTAAATTGCAAATTTCCGCGCAACTCATTTTACATTAGGTCGATTTATTATCTAGTTAATTTTTGTTCTTTCACAAATAGTACATAAATTTAGCCGATGTATTAATGACGAAGAGGATTTAATTATTTTACATTTATTATTATAACAGAATTTGGTGTAACTAAATAACCAAATAAAGGATTATGTATTTAGCTTCAGGTCATATCTTCCTTATGAAACCCTGCAATACTAGTGCCTGTACGACCGTGCTTGAGCCTGGAACCTAGCTGGTTATCAAACCGAATTAGGTAAAGCAAGATTCGGGAGAGTGATGTGTCGTATATTGACAATAATAATGATAATGACAATAATAGTAGTGTTAGTGGTAATAGTAATTATAATAGTGAAAAGTATGTATATTATAAACTAAAATAAGTAACAGAAACTCACATTCAATTTGATCTTATTATCTATCCGACTAACATCGAAACTGAAAATTAGATTGTCGCAAAAAAAACGAAGTAATTAAAATTTTGGAAAACAGTTCCTTATTTTCTAACAAATTAACGAATGTAACAAATACTTTTTGTATTGACGGCTATCGTAAAAAAAACATTTGATCAGTTTATATGCTACATTCAATGGACTTAAGAAAGAGAGAGGAATATGATTTTCATTATCTCAAAAATAACTTAAAACCAGGGAACACTCAAAGGCTGTTTTGTTTCAGTTTTACACTTCACAACTGAGTGTGGAATAGAACCCAGAATACTCAGATATTGAGAAGAGCATGATATTCTCCAGGTTAACGAGTAGAAACCAAATAATATTAACTTTAGTAAATAAGAGATATAAGGTGATCTTTATCAGATATCATTAGACTATATCAAGAAGTATTGATATACTGAATAACTATTATGTTGAATAGTCCTTAAGACAAAAAATCTGTTTACGTTTCGTACATTTTCATAGTTGACTTACCCATCAATGGATTGAGATGCACGAAAATCAACACCACTACGACGTTTTTCAAATGCATCCATTACCTCACTAAGCAAATCCTACACATCGAAAAAGAAATGAAAACAAGTAAAAATTTCAAATATAAAATAACAAAAATCAAGATCTATATTAAACATTACATAATTTACTTAATTATCAAATATTTTATCTACTTTTTATTACCCGAATATAGATTGAAGTGTTATAAACTATGGAAATCAAATAGTATATATATATTTTCTACTAAAAAGCAAGTGAATTTGTAAAAATTAGAAAAAAGCCATACACAATGACGACAAAAAATAACCAACTATCTTAGTTTGTTATTTTTCTCAACATAAAAAGAATTAAACGCAAATGAAAATATTAGGAATAGTAGAAGAATTATATATGTTTGATTAATGTGCTTTCATTACTTGGCTACTTCGTGTTTAATGACATACATACATTGATGGATGGTTAATGTAATGATTAGATAATGACAGTGAATGAACTAAAACTGTTTTGTAAAAATCACCAAAAATTTGGAGTACACTAAGAAGTAGTGAACAAATGTGGAGCATTCGTCATCTGAATACGAATGTGACTGAACGATAGATCATGAGTTGATGTAATAAGCTATGGGTAATATATGTTTAGTGAAGATTACTGACAGTACCCAGATTTAAAATACAATGAGAGTGGATCGTAATTTAAATTCTTTGTCTACTGATGAAAAGTTGTGCACATGAAACCCTGAAGCTTAATTTAAATTGTAAAAACAACAATCCGGAAATCATGTATTTAGAACACTAGGGAAACGAACCGATTTATATTTTCATAAGCAAAATCGAAATTTGTTTAACATGAATTTATAACCATTATTTTATGACAAATGAACATGGCAAATTAAAAACTTTAAAAAAAAGTTCTGCTGATGCACAACTGAAAAAATAGCATAGCATGCATAAGCCTAGAATTCACGAGTTTATAAATCTTGATATAGTTTAGAAAATGGAAGTAATGAATCCATACTTCTAAAATTAACAGAATGTAAAACAAAATAGGCACTTGCCTCAGAACTGATATGTAATAAACGATCAGCAAATAAATGATTTTCTGTTAAACAATCAGTTTCTTCAGATATTTCACCAACACTGTTTATATTTGATACACGTGACGGATTAAGTCGTACTATGGGCGGACAAGGACGACTAGGTTTTTGCTTATCATTATTATTAGTGGTAATAGTTATAGCTGATGATTTATCGCTATTACTATTAATATTACTGTTATTATCAGTAGAACCAATAGAGATAAGAGTAGCCATATTATTTTGATTGAATGAATTTGTTGAATCTACAGAATGATTACTATCATTATTAAGCACTGAAGAGTGTCTAGAGGATTTCGCTGGTAATAAAGGTCGAATCACAGCCTGTTGTTGTGTATTATTATACTGAGATGATGAGTCAGATTGTGAATGTTTTACAAATCCATTAACTGTAACTGTTATATCTGGTGTATAATTTTTTTTAGTCAAATTATCATTATTATTTATAGTGATTTCTCTTCCTTGTGAAATGTAGTTCACATCTGTAGATTCTGCAATCTCATTACAATTCTTTGTACGATCCTAGTGTTAAAATGGAAAAATTAAAGGTAAAAATAAATAAAAATGTAAGATAAAATATTTACCAAGAGGTGAATTATGAAGAAAGTTATGATGATTAACGTAAGTGGAAACGATAGTTTTCACATGGAACTGATCTCGAAAATTGTAATTGTATGTAGATTTTATATAAATGAATCAATGGCTCAACTAAATGGATATATACCATTGGATGACTTAAAATAATCATTCATATATAATGTTATTTAGAATATCATGACTAAATTACGAACATAAGATATAATCAGCAATCTTATATATTTCTCAGGTATCTGAAAGTTAGATGGACCACGAAAAAAAAGAAAAAAAAAGCGAATCTTGTGCCTTATCTGCCGTTTTGTATTGTTATGACATGTGGAAAAATGTGAGTGCACGTAGGGGTCTTTTTCCTCACATTTGCCTACCTTTATAAAATGAGCATAAAACTATGAATTCTGATAAGTGAAAATATTCGGCTATTCGTACTATTATTACAATCATTCAGACATAATCAATGCAGCGCTTATGATAATCGACATAAATTAACATTATAAACCAATATAACCTACTAAGTACATGTTTGCGTGCTCGGCTTTGAGGTGTACTATTTATATGGAGGCTAATGATACCAGTCTTAGTTACTCGGATAGAAATAGATGGGAACGATTTCAAAACTGGTGATCTCCTGAGTACAAGACAAGCACTGAAACCTCTCTCCATATTTACACAATCTCATATAGATTTTAATTCAAATCATCAATTATAGTGGTTTATACTGCTAAAAAGATATGTAGTAATTAGTAAGTACAAATCTACTGTACCATATATCTAACTATACTTCTGATTTTATATAAATTGTTTTTTAGACTTTGTAAATTACAATTACCAGTAGTCTATCATAAATAACAGCCCGGATTAGTATGATAGAGTGACAATATACAAACAGTGGATTCAGTCGAAAATCACCTAAAAATATTAAGCCAATGAGAAAAAAAAAGAAAAATACCGACATATACATGTTGAAGTAGAAAAATAAAATGATATTGTTATAGATGGTACAAGTTGTAGGATATAAATGTCTGTTATTTGTTATTATTGTTGTTTTTACAATAAATTTATATACGAAAAAAATCACATGGGTCACCTATATGATAAATAAAATTTAAACTGATAGACGTTAATATTTAATGCAATGAATTATACAATTTAGAATGTTAATTAATGAAATTTATCATACAGTAACATGAATTCTTTTGATAGCATAGTTCTGAAGTTGTTTAAAATGAAGTTAAACAGAAATGCAAGACGTAATAATCTTTTGTTTCTTACAGAAAAAAAATACCGAGACGGATCACCAAGTTTAAAAATTTATTAAATTATTTTGCTACATAAGCAATGTAATAATTATGAGCTTAACTAATGATCATCCATACATGAAAACTTTCAATAGAGAGATTAAAATTAAAGTTATAACTGTTTTTCAAGATAACTTTATTAAAAAGATTAATCAAAGAGCACAAAACAATAAGAAACAAACCTTAGAGATGATGTAAAACTTACACTATTATAGCTAAGCTGAAATCGATAGGTAAGTGATGTAGTAAGCGATTGAATGATAATCAGTGATAAAAAAATGAAAAAACAGTTAGTTGTCAGATGACAAATTATTTTGAACATACATTATCTCAACTGGCCACAATTCACAGAATGAACAATAAAAGAATCGAAGTGATAATACCAATAGTAGTGACGAAAACGATACACCTAGAGAATTTAGTCAGAAAGGAATGAATGAAGTTGGAAACAATGCACAGAACATGGTCAAAGAAAAACTCAAAATCTGGAAGGGATATAAAGAATGAATCCAATTATGCCATTGAGATCGATATGAAGTTCTGTCACCAAATGTATTATATACAATCACAGATCCCAATAATCAACAAAGAAGGTATCAATACGCGAATTCCATGCACGTAGTATAACGTAGCCTCGTTTGCAAAACTCTAAATGAAGGCTTTTCTAAAAGAAATTACTTTACCATCTCTCTGCTTTAACATTGTTCAGTGAATTTCAGTTATGGCAAAATGTAGAGCTATGTGAATCTATACAGAAAGTAAACTCAAAATATCAAAATCCAACATGCTCAAAGGTTAATTAGTGCTTTATGCATAACAACCCAATCAAGAAACGGTAATTTGCAGAATTATATTTTCGTAAAGATTTTCTACAAGCTGGCATTTAACGATAATGAAGAACTATAACATATTTATGTACTCAGAACTCAATACTAGTTATTTATTCGATACATAGGTGGATTATGCATGATTTCATACCTTTAATGACAATAACTTCACATTTGTTTCATAGATAAGACAGTGACAGTATATGACCAGAAGTAGATTTAATACGACGTTAATTAACATTGGAATAAATACAAACTTGAGTTGAAAATCTGGGGTTTTATTAACAGTCCCCAAACTGCACAGATCAAATTGTGAAAAATAGTAAAATATTATTTTATTACTTTTAATTGAATTTGTTACTGCTACTAAGATGACAAGAAAATGACTCATAACTATACGAGCAATGGTGATAATTTAAAACACACAGAAAGACAGATGTTGAACTTACATCGGCTAAATCAGAGCAAGATAAACTGCTTTGGATTTGTACACTTGGGAATCGTTCCGGTTCTCGTTCAATAATGAGTTGCTGTGATGGGACAAAATGCACAGGAACACTAGCATCAATTCCATGACTAACTGGGAGATCGTTGACTCGAAGAGATTTGAAATATTCTTCCTGTCGAACTGAAATAGGCATACCAGGAAAGGATACTGGTGGTTCATGATTATCAGGAGGAATAAAATTACCCCCGGATGGAGGATCCTTTTTATTTGATGAAGATATTCCTGTGTCTCCATGGGAATAAGTATTTTTGACTGAGGATTCTAATTGTCTCCGATAGCACAGCAGACGTTGAGTTAATAAAGTAGACAAGTGTGGATTTGTAACAAAGTTATGCTACAATTAAATCAGAAAAATTATCATTCAAGTTAATGAATTGAGAAATCTTGATAGATTTTAAAATGATTATAATCAAACGTCAATATCAACTAAATAGATATTTAAAACGATTAATACCAGAAAAATGTTTTACTCCAATGTTCGAGACTCTTACACGTATTCATATTTGTCAATTATGTAAAAGATAAACGCGTAACTATCAAGATTCATTACAAACCCGACAGTCCATGAACCATTAAATCTAAAAACTAAAGTGGCCAACTTGATAGTTACTTAATCGATCACCAAATTATCACTAGAGTTTAAATGATGGAACCACAACCCTAGTGACTGAGTCTATGAATACATATAAGGAAATTATTGATAACATTTAAGTGGAAATCATTCAGCCAAAATAGCAAAACAACGATTTAACTTGTCGGTCAATAACTGAATTATCAAAAGGGAAATAAAGATAAAATAGTCACTTCTACAACAATGAATGCATAACCAATCAATGAAATAATACTTAAAGTATATGTAACCTACTGTAAGCATTGTAGCTGCATCAGGTCTTCGTCGTTCTGCTTTGATTAAACAACATTTAATAAACGAATGAAATAATGGTGACCTAAAATATATAGAAATAATAATAATCAATGGTAGACGCGTAGATGATAACATATGAATGATAATTTGTCTCTGAACTTTTTGAAATTAAAACGACAGGAAAGAAAAAAAGTAGTGATGAATAAAAGAGTCGTATGCCTCAACCCAGAAAGTAAGCAGAACAGAAAAGAATTGGAAATTGGAAATCCATTAAAAAGCAAATAGTCTATTTTCTTATCAACATTAGCTTGGAAATTACCTTGATAATTAACGTGCATATGTGGCTTAACAGTCGTAATTGAAAGTCAAAGGAATCCTATGAAAAATTGATTGTTTATGTATAATAAATAATGATTTGGTGTTAAGTAATATCCTTAAAAATGTTTGCTAACAAATTCGCACTATGAGTACTCGAGTCAGATTTACGAAATAGTGTTCTGTATTCAGAAATTGTCTCTTAGAATGCATAGATTTGTCGGAAATCGGAGCACTAAGTACAATTATTAATTCAAGAAAAAGAACATAGGATACAGAACCATTATACATCAATCTGAATTACCATGATGCACGTCAGCACAAAGAGGGGAATGACAAGTGTGTTAAATATGAAATAAGATTAAAAGTTAAGTTTGTTCGCAACTCAGTCATCGCGTTACTACTAAAACTAGCATATGATCAAACAGTGTGCTGCTAGGTATTCGTATTTATTCTAAATAATGATCCATTTGTTGTGTGATTGTATGTAAACATTGATTTCCTGTCAATCAAGCTACTGGATCAGCTTCTTTCAAAATCGATCACAAGCATTGTGTTTCGAAGCTTGATCATATCACATATTATATTTCTGGATGAATTAAACAACAGATCATATGACTAAGAAAAAATCTCAATTTAATTTCGCAACAATTAAATATGGAATTCTACATTTCACTGTTTACATGAAGTAAAGCATTTAGTACCACTGACTTAAATAGCTGTTTTTAATGGTAGTATCAAGCTGAATTAAGTGACATTTTAGATATTTTAGATTGAGCTAGAATGCATTGTTGAACTGCATATAGAGGAAAATGAGTATTAAGAATTTACGGTGTTTTATGATAAGTATATCAGTCACTATCAATTTCATTTCAAGAGTCCTGTTGTTAATATAGTAATTAATAGTAGTTAGTATAATTGAAAAACCTTATCAAAAAAGTTCTTTTAGTGAATTCATTTGTTTGATTACAGTAAAAGTGGTTTTCAGGATTAGTTATATTGGAGATAATTTTCATTGTAAGTAATAAAAACAAGGACCAATTGAAAGTTATGGAGTTCTAGTTTGAGACTTCTTAGTAGAAGTATGGACTCTTGAACCTTATCATGAATTGAAATTGAATCAATTAGCTCAAGTTGTGATTACCGTGTCATTTGATGACCCAGTTGAAATTCAATAGTTTACAGTTTTCCACTTTAGTTTGCTTTTAATGGTTTTATAGTTGATAATAGTTGGTGGTGAAAACTATCGTAAAATGTATATCTCAACAAGAATGAAGTGAGCCAGTTACAACTTTTATATGAATTTTATGTCAACAATATCTTTTTGAAGGTGGTGTTCGTCCTAGATTGATCAGTTATCATACCATCAATAAGCGAGGAGTACTAGAGAGCTTTTTCTCAGTATAAGATTGAAGAATTATAATGTATGCCCTCCCGAGGTAGTATTAAAAATTTAATTTACCAAACTATTGTGGAGTAATGGTGTAGTGTTTAGGGCTCTTAACTTTTAGCCATTAAGTTTCAGGTTCGAACCCCGTTTCACCTACTTCGAGTAGTTTCGATAACCTTTACATATCTAGCGTGGCTCATACCCAAGTATTTAGTGAATATTTATTCAGTCAGTTTTCATGATCAAACTATTTTTTATTATTATAAAAAGATAGGAAAATGGTTGACAAAAAGACTAGATGGCTTGCAGACACTCAAAATATTCAACTGTTTTACAAAAATTAACTCAACCATTAATTATAGAAACGAAAATACAGGAATTTAGAAAAAATATTTTTCCTCCTCACTCAGTCTTCTCACGCAAATAGACGACTGAACTCGTGAATAGGGAGCATGTTTATCAGTATTAGAATCAGACATCGCGCAACACAACAGTGGCACACTTTGACCTCATGTTTTTTATTTTTACTGTAAACTTATGCAAAATCTGATATTCAAGATAAACTTTTTTACGTTTTAATGTTATATTAAATATATGTTGTTACACATCCCATAGAAATTCTGAAAAAATATTTTTAACTATTTCAGGTATGATTTCTACAACATAAAAATATGTCATTTAAGGTTTACGACAACCGTAATATAGGACGATTATGATATATATAGCAAGGAGGACCTGATGCAGACGTGAAGGCTAGGATTGGCAAAGGGCAGGACTTCTACAATTGTAGAACACATAGAACTAAAAACAACTGTCAACCAATTTCAAAGTCAGATTCTTCAATACGAATGTCAAGACAGTTCTACTGTACACAGCTGAAACTTGGTGAACTACCACAATCATCATCAAAAAGTTACAAGTATTTATAAAAAATTGTCTACGAAAAATACTCGATGTCCGTTGACCGGCTATCATCAGCAACAGCCTATTGTGGGAGAGAACAAACCAGCTTCTAGTTGAAGAAATTAGGAAGAGACACGACGTGGATAGGAAATATATTGTGGAAATTATCAAACTGCATCACGAGGCAAGCGCTAACTTGGAATGCTGGAGTTGAACGGGAAAGAGGAAGGTCACAGAAGAAACTGCGTTGAAAACTGGAAGTAGACATTAAAAGAATGAACAACAACTGGAAAGGTTTACCCAAGATAGAGTTGTATGGAGAATCCTGGCAGGAAGTCTATGCTCTTCCACGAGGGTAACAGGCAATATATATATATATATATATATATATATATAGACTAAATCGAACAATTGATAAACAGCAATTAACATTGTAGAAATGTTGCAACAACGAATATAACAGCAACACATCAAAAAAAGAAAACGAACCATTTATGACGGTCTTGTAAAGAAGGGGGCTTGTAGTTTCGCGAACCCAGAATTTGTAGTGCTCTAGGGAAAGAATGATAAAAAAGAATAGTGTCATTTAGCTGGCAACAGTACAGATAGTTACATTTCAAACAATTCATTTTTAATAGGGGCCAAAAACATACTTACTTCCTAGGGTCTAGATCAAACATTGGAGGTTGCAGTTCAGCATATTCAATAGCAGTAATCCCAACACCCCAAATATCACACTTTCCATCATAACCCGAGCCACGAGATTCAATTGAAGCTACCTCAGGCGCCATCCTACAAAATTATCGAAGAAGGATTTAGCAGTCAACGTAAACAATGTTCGTGATTAAATACTATAGAACTAGGTTAAAAATTATGTTTTCGACCCAATCGAACATCAGCATGAGCATGAACTTATTAATACATCTGGGTAATTGATTTCTCTTGGTTTAGGCTTTCTCCATATACATTTGTTAAAATCTATGTAATGTTTGCTTGGTAAGATAAGTTTATAGTTGGTAACATTATATTACTGACAAAATCTATTAAACGAAAGAAACTACTATTACATCATTTTTGCTGATGACAACTATTCAAAGAAACGGTAGTGATAGGTGGGTCTGAGGATTTTTGTAAGTTTGATTAAAATTGACGTAACAATTCCTTCTAGTTATAATTAACTTGTGGAGAGTTAGTATAATTAGAAAACGGGTTGCTATTATTATGCTAATTCAGCCAGTCAGTGATAAACAACGTACAGTTTGGCGTAGATGTGTGTTGGCGTACCGTATCAGTTTAACGAGATAAAATTAACAACGTGTATGGCAAAAGACAGTGAAATAATGTAGTATCAATAAAAATGAGAGTTTAAGCATTGAGAATAGGGTTTCAAAAGATAGAGTGGAAAGGGTATATATGAAAGAACGATGGGATCCATGATATAGGGGAGAATAAACAGTTAATGTATTCGTGCTATTGTGAATGATTCTGAGCCATGTCATCAAACGTTTCCAGCTTCTGGTCGCCATTAATGCACATACCAACATGGTTCAGACTAAGTCAATCATTTAATGGAGTGATGCAGTGTCTTGGTATGGCCACCTCTAGCTTTTGTTTTACCTACTTCTATACCAGCAAAAACCAACCACCAAGGCAAGAGGTGACTAGGAGTAAGCAACGTGTCCTAACTACGTTAATCAACGAATATTCATAGCCTCGTCAACTTATTTTTTACCTTTGCCTAGTACCCTGTTATACCTGGACGAAGAATAAGTGAACGGTAACTGTTAGGACCTATTTAGGGAGTTATTATATATATTCTTGTTGTATAACTATTAAGTAACTATATTATATGTATATTCATATTCCTCTTACTATAAGCTCCCATTTGACTTAATGACTACTATTATGCGATTTACTATTCTAAATTTATTTCCAATTTATTAGTTACGGTCTCTCACAATCACAGCCACTTTTAGCCTGATCTTGTATAAATGTTATTTTTTATTTTGTGGTATAATATGGTCTGGTTTATTTTGTATGTAAACATAAACCAAATATGTCTGAAATACGTGATTTATATAATGGAGGCTGGTATTTGTGTTCTGGACTGGACCGGCTGTGTTAGACGAGAAGCTACTACCTCAGAGAACCAATAGGAACTCAGAGTTGACTCTAGGCTGCTCGTACTGTTTTATGCATCATTGATTTGGTCAGTAATTCGGTGTTCTAATTGGTGACCCTATCACGTGATAATTAATAGACTATAAGGATATAACACCTATCACTAACATCGCTCAGCAATTCCACAAAGCGCGAGCAAAGGTTGCGAAGATGAAAGCCTGCAGCGTACGCATCTCCTTTACTTTCACAGATCATGTTTCATATCCATAAAGCAACGTAAAGTGGGTAGCTGCACAGTGTACAGCCCCTTCAGTCGGCAGACGAATATCACGTCTACTCTGCAAGCAACGCAAGTTGGCAAAAGCAGACCAAGCCTTTGTCAGACACCAACCCACCAGAGTTGATGAGACTTCCAAAATAAGTGAAGTGACCGGTACGCCCAACTACATCTCTCTATCATTAGCTCAGGCGTTAACACAGACCAGTCCTGAAGCAAAATTTTAAATTCATGGGGAGAGAAGTGCACCCTAAATATGTTTTCATTGTTGTTCAAGGTGACCAAGAATTGTACTTTTTCAGCGTTCTCACCTAATAGTACTATGCTATGTGTATTCCAAAACGATAGGTAAACCTACTAATAGAAAACCAACCCCTGAAGAGTTAGATGAGCGTTATTCATAGGAAAACATCTATGATAAAATTAGGCGAAATGGATAAAGTGGACAAACCTGACAACCACTATATGACAGTTTGCCGAATGCCCTGACTCGACTAGTGTCTGAGTACAGGGATTTCACAAGGGTAATGTACATCTTTGGTAAGTTTCTCAATGATGAACACTGTCACAGAACCTTTCGTCCAGCAGAATCAATTCTACTTATTCACACCCAAATAACGACAATAAACGCCGAAACACGATTGCTAAGGAAATATTTTTTCTGAATTTACAAGATTATAGAGCGGCGGCTTAATGATTGAAGCGGTCAGCTTCAGCTTGGAACCAGTAAATCAAGTATGAACCTTGTCTGATACATTTCAGTTTGGACACCTGGGTAGTATTAGTGGACTGCAAATAAATAATGTCAGCCAGATACAACGTAGGATCAGGCACACATATACATCGGTCCAAGTTGCCATACCTCACTAGCACAACAAGATGAACACCAAATTCATAGTAGTTACCTCAATGATAGTAATATATAAAAGAAAGATTGTATATAACGATATAATACAGAGAGAAAGAATTGGAAAGAGAGGTAATTTTAATCTCACGGTTTAAGAAAAGAAAAAAAGCCATGTTACCCAGAGTCTCTAACCATTGGTTACGATAGTCACGTGGACCCCAACCAAGTAGTCTGCATTTACCGGCATGGCTTAGACCAAAAGTCAGTGACTTTATGGACTGATGTCATGTTTTGGTTTCACTGCCCCTATCTTTCTTCCAACCATCCCAAACACTAGTCAGAATTGCGCGTCGTGGTAATCAATGTTCAGGCATTTGTAACACGTGGTCCAACCATCTCAGTCAGTGAATATTTACAACCTCACCAACTGATTTACTATCATTCCCTAATACCTTGCGTCTAACCTTACCACTACTTACCCGATGATCCCAGCAGATGTGAGCGATGTTTCTAAGATATCTGTGATCAAATACTAGTAACTTAAGAGTATCTTCTACTCTTAATGGCCACGTTTAGCAGCCGTAAAGTAGAATAGAACGAACTGCTGCACAGTATACTCGTCCCATAATTAATAGGAGGATATTTTGCCTTCGCCATAGGTGAAGTAAGTTGGCAAAAACCAAACAAACTTTCGTCAGACACCAACCCATTAAGGCTGATCAGACTTCCAAGATAAGTGAAGCTGTCGACGCGTTTGACTACTTCACTCCCTATCCTTAGTTCAGGTGTTGACGTAGGCCAGTTCTGGAGCAACAACTTGCATTCAGAGGGGGAGAAACAATGTAACTCAAAGTAGTTAAAGATAGAATGTGTTATCCTTCAATCAGTCAGTCGTAAATAACGTAAAACCTGATACATATGAGCATTTGTGAAAATCGCCACAGCATATCTGCACAACAAGACGAATTTTTCAAGATAAATGCTAGAGTAGTAAAAGTAGTAGTAACAGTACTTTTAGACATAGAACATACGATTCAGGAATTAAAAGTATGAGTTTTAGAATTAAGGTGAGGAAAAGAGTGGATATATCTTTCTCACTACGACCGATTCTGAGCCATGAGTCCTTCAATCAACAAAATTCATTGTTAATTGACATGAAAATACTAGACAATTTTCTTGTGTGATTTATTTTTAGGAAATATATGTACTTTGTGGACAAATTTGTAAAAAAAATCAAGAATTATTACTCGAAAAAGTAAGGAAATCAATGAAAACCCACCAGTAGGGTGTTCCAATTAAAGTTGTTCGTTTGGCAATTGAAGTATTCAGTTGGGCGGCAACACCAAAATCCGCTAATTTGTAAGATTGAAATAATCAGGTAAAAATTACTGATTACAAACAAACATACCCACTTTCACATGACCGTCATCTGTCAGAAGAATATTAGCACCCTAAACATAAATCTCAGTCAAAGAAGTGAGAAAATACACTAACTTTAATATCTCTATGAATACGTCCACGATTGTGCATAAAATTCAAACCTTGTAAAGTTTCTCTGGAGACAAATGCAATGCAGTCTTCTTCTAAGGGACGCCTGGTATCTACACGAAAAATAACAATCCACAGTTTATGATAAGTTATTTTTTTCATACAGAGATAAATATCTTGCATAGATTGTCCACCGCAATATTCCATGCATATCCATAATTTGTTATTCCTGAATAAAATCAATTTTCATATAGATTACGTGTAGATAAGTTACCTAAGATAACTACCGTAAAACTGCACAATATTTGGATGCCGACATTCTCTCAAGGTGTGTATTTCTTGGCAAATTGATCGAATGTCATCCTTTAGATCAATCTTCATAACTTTAACCGCCACCAATGTCCGCCTCTCACGATGAACCGCCTGGACAAAACAAAACGATTACTTAAACATAAGGGAAATAACACACAGGAAAATCGTGTCAAGAAAACTTTTTACTAGACTAAGATGGAATAAATTAGTAACTGATATGGTTAGTGGAAAATAATTTTACGTAGTAATTGTCAAAACCTTAGATCGTCAATCGGAAATTTTAGCAGACCTGACTGGATATACATCATTAGCAATGAGTCACAAGTATTGTAAGGAAACAAGATGTTTTCAGCCGACAGCTCCACAGATAAGCTTTTACAAAGCAAGGACTAGAATTGCTGTGGTATAAAGTGAGATTACTTCACCTTGAGTCATGAAGATTTTCAATATATGCATTAGTATTCTAAATAAAATATTTTGAAGGCGTAGTGCCGTAAAAATGCACAAATGTCTCACTTAGATGGTGTGAGAAATGAAAAAAATGACAGAATAGTAAAAAGGTTCAAAGTAAGTGTAACAATAAGGGGAGTTAAAAAGTTTTATAAATCCCTCACAATTTTTTTTGTTTTTATCTTGCTAATTTACATTTTCTTTTCCAGTTGTCTCTTTCGTGCCTAGTTTTCCTATTTCCACTGATAGTGTTACTACCTCAAATATTTTGAGATTTGGCCTGATGAAATCTCTTTATGCTAATGGGGTGTGGCAACTTGAATCGATGTGTATACGTACAGGTTTTACGCTGTGACTGACTGGGTGAGCAAACAAATCACATAGAGAATATGGTTGTAGAGGACAGAGTGAAACGGTAAGTATGAAAGAATACTGAAACTCAAGACCTAAGTTGAATACATCTAGGCCACCGTAAGTGATTCAGAATCACATCACGAGGTAATCGTTTACCGGCAGTAGGTGTAACTTAATTATTATAGTGGGTGAACTGATAGGATCGACTACTAATCACAAAGGCAATGATGAAAAAGTATATGATAGAGATAGTGATCGAGATAATTTAAAACAAAGTTAAATCTAACTTATTGAGCCAACATAGTTGGTGAAAATTAGTAGCAATCATTTTTAGTGGTCAACTTTCTGTGCAAGTTAAAATATTAACGACACCTTGATATATTACCTGGCTTAAGCCTATAACTGGAAAACAGTAGACAAATGCAGAAATCGCTAATAAAAGAAAGAAAAAAAGGAACTATTACATTTCACTTGCAACGTACAGTCTACATTCAACGACGTCATTCGCAGACAGAAGAGTGTTCCAACATCATGGAATGAGTCGATAGTTATCCCTATGTTTAAAAAAAGTTCACGTCGTTTCTGTAACAACTATCGGGGGTAAGGCTACTTCCAATTGCTTCCAAGCTATTGGCATCCATGATACTTCGCAGGTTGTTCAAAACCCGAGAAAGATTGACTCAAGAGGAGCAGGCTGGTTTTCGTTCCGGTCGAGGATGTATTGATCATATCTTCACTCTCCTCCAAATGTTAGAATACCGTCATACTTATCAAACGCCAACAGTCGTAGTGTCTCTTGACGTCAGGGCTGCCTGCGATTCGTTGGATAGGACTGTTCTCTGGAATAATCTATCGAAGAAGGGTGTGTCTGAGAAGTTTAATAACATCTTAAAAGTCCTATATACAAACACCTCAGGCAGAGTGAGGGCATACAACCACCTCTCTCCATTGTTCTATTCGAGCAGTAGGGTTAGACAGGGTTGCCCAATCTTACCATTCCTCTTCAACTTTGCCATCGACGACATTCTGGAAACAGCTCTGATGGATGTAAGTAATGGCGGCGTAGATCTGTTGCCCGGCGAAAGACTTCTCGGCCTTCAATATACGGATGATATTGTCTTACTGTGCGATACTGCCCAAGCCATGCAATCCGCACTTAATCAGTTGGCAATCAGTGTCCATAGGTATGGTATGTGCTTTGCACATTCGAAGTGCAAAGTACCTCTACAAGACTGGCAGGATTCTAATCATGTACTCACCCTGGATGGTGAGCAGATAGAAGTAGTCGAGAAGTTCGTGTATCTAGGTAGCTGCATAAGTGCTGGTGGTGGCGTGAGTGATGAGGTCATTGCATGTATAGTGAAAGCCGGAGCGGCTTATGCTAATCTGGGCCATCTTTGGCGCCTTCGTGATGTTAGTCTGGCTGTAAAAGTTCGGATCTACAGCGCGTCGGTGAGAGCAGTTTCGCCCCATGCTTGTGAAACCTGGCCTCTCCGAGTTGAGGACGTTAGACGACTCTCTGTGTTCGATCATCGCTGTCTCCGAGGGATTGCCGACATCCAGTGGCAACACCATGTTAGTAATGCAGAGGTTCGGCATCGTGTGTTCGGGCACAGAGACGATAATGCAATTGGTGTCACCATCTTGAAACACCGACTTCGGTGGCTTGGACATGTTCTACGAATGTCGTCCCAGAGAATTCCACGTCGTGCATTATTTGCCGACGCTAGGACTGGTTGTAAGAAGCGGAGAGGTGGTCAGTGTATGACATGGTGTCGTGGCATGAAAGAAAGATGCAAAGGGCTGACTTCTGTCGGTCCTTCACGACTCCCTGGCTTGGGTCCGAGAGATAGCGCAACACAGTGGCTAGAGACGTTATCAGATATGGCTCAGAATAGAAGCCAGTGGCGATCCTGCTGTAACCTTCTTTTACTTTCTTCATAAAAAATAATGGTTGTATCTTCCATAACTGAAGGATTTCTTCTGATTGTACCTTTCCGTTCCCCCATTATTACCACTATTATTATTACACTACCATACACTAATCTGTGGTCGTTATTGTCTTCTTTTTAATTCTTGCTTCTCTCTTACACGCACATTACATTCTTTTTCTCTCCCCATTCTCATTCTTAATGTGTGGAGAATATATATCTGGTGCCCCCTTGTACCAATATTTATGTGTTCAGATAAATAAATAAATAAGAGACAGAAGGATGGCATAGCAATGGGATCCCTTCTTGGCCCATTACTAGCAGAATGCTGAGCCATCCTTTCTCAATGATAATTTCCCTATCTATCTTTCGATGAATTATTGAGCCATTAACAATCGAACGATTATTGAGTTTTTCCTGTTTAAAAGTTTTCCTACTACCTTTGTTCATTTTACCTCACTGTCACTATGTCTAACAGAAGTTTAGTATCAGTATTATAATAACTATTATCATCCTAAAAAATAAGTATATATATTTGCGATTGTACAGCTTTGAAAATGAATTCACCGAAAAGAGAACTCTTCGCTGAATTAAGCTTTTTTATTTAAAGAAGACTGTGACTGGGGTTTGTCACTCCTCAATAATGGAAGTACAAAAAGTTATTTTATTCCAGTAATCATTAAAATCTAACTTCTCTAAAAAACGAAAGTACGAAATATTCCCTAGGCAATGGTTAAATATATCCCGGCAGAAAAACTCATGTGGTTATGTCCAGTCAATTAGTTATGAATGACGTAAAACCTGATTTTAATAGATGTAAAACTGAACAGATCTGGAAGCAATAAATTGTAATAGCAAGTTTAAATAATTCTAGTTACTCAAGACCGTACCTAAGACAACTTAATTTTCATAATAGAATATTTGAAACAGGCTCAGAGACTGAAGTGGTTTGTGACTGTCATCCATGTTTGAGATATATTTGAGATATAACGCTGTAGAACTAAAAAGATTGTTTTATGTAAGTGTGGTTCAGTAATGTTAGCAAAATAACTCTATGAACCTTCAAGTAAGGCAAAAACGCAATTCTGGTTATGTATCAAACGAAAATTCTGCAAGTTGAAAATAGAACTTTTGCATAGAGTTCGAAAACTGACGCCTCATAGATCAACTAAATGCGTCACAGTATACTGTCGATCATAATAGACAAGTATATGGTCATTGCTAAAATTTGTTTCTTCTAAACTCACATCATCACATTATTTAAATTTATTAGCAAAAATGTTGGCACTGAAGCATAGCAACGACCTTAGAGATTAGCTATCTGGATAAATTATGATAATAAGATGCTCTTTACCTACTATTACACTAACCTTGAAGACATCTCCGTAGGTCCCACTACCGATTGGAGCGAGTATCTTATATTCCTCCTTTGGGTCATTGGGTTTCACAAATTGTCGAAGGTAATCTAGCTTAGGATGGCTCATGTATCGTTATATTCATTTCGTCTCCTGTTCAAATGGCGCGGGGAAAATTATTAAGATAGACTAATTTTATTATCCGTCATTAAATTATTTAACTTTAATTATTATACTTTTATTCCCCGGGCTTTTGTTTTAATTGTCCACCTTTACTTTTTGGTTTAGTTCTGTTGGTTGGCTGATAGCTTGTTTGACTTGCTTCAGTGAACGGGAAATGGAATCTGCGTCTACGAAAAAGGTCTGCTACTATTATGACGGTAAGTGCATTCTGTAACATGTATTTTGCTCCTTTGTTCAGTTTAAGTCATTCTCTTGCTCAACTGACCAAAATAGTTTTGTTTACCCATACCTTCTCAAGACCTGGATTGTAAAACTCTTAACAAGTTACCATCTCCAAAGTTCACTGTTCTCGATGATTAGCTTCTTTTCTTACCAACGGCGAACTTGCTTTGTAGCAGTCTGCGTGGCTTACACTAATTTTTAAAGCATTTTAGTAATTAAGCTAGCTTCAATATTTAGATAGACAATTAAAGGGGATTGCATTAAATAACTTGTTGTCAGGGGTGTGCGTTCCCATATGGACTGTTTATATTGTATTTTATCATTCCTAAGTACCAAAAAAATGAAAAATTACCACTAGGACGTTAATCCAAATTCGTCCTTTAACTTATAGTGTGACCGCAAGAATTTATGCTATTGAACTTATTTCTAGTGGAATCCAAGCACCCATTTCCCCCCACTCTAGAGTTTCTGTTTCACGTCTGGGTAGATGAACTTAAATCTTATTCTCTGCAACCTTACCTCAGGTAATAAATCCAAGACATTCTCTTCGAGTTCCTAGAAAAAAAATCAGTAATTACAACATCTGTAATCCTTTACCCGGTGTTATTATGTAGTTGTCCTTAATTTTGTAGTTACTACTGAGTTATATTTTAACGTATTCCGGTATTTCTAGTGCCGTAACTCGGATCAGCTGATGCTAAGGACCGCATTCAAATGTGATTATAGGTCGAAGTTTCACTTAAGTATGCTGTCTTACCGGATCGCTCATGCAATTCTATCACTTTGGAAGTGGTTTTACTTTGACTTAGGATGACATGTTTGTTGACTGGATCATACTCAGCTTTTTACTTGTTAGATTTATCAGCATGCAGTTATCGCCGAACGTTTATTTTTGTCTGCACACCTAATCAAAAATTTGTCAAAAATATAGCGGTTAACCCATGTAATTTGTTGAGCTTTATACACTTTTCACATGGTATATTCATGTTTGATAATATTAGCTGCTAACAATAGGTGTGCTAGATTTAATTCAGGACAGCACAATCTAAACATGAAATGAGATAAGATTCCAGGTATGTTACTGAGGCTTGTTTTCCTTAGAAAAATAGGTTCAAATGCATATCAGTGAGACTATAATTTATGGGCGACCTTTGAGCGACGCCAGACTGAGCTTGAGAGTGTCCACCTAATAACCGGGACCAAATAAGAGTTATAAACCTGTGTGAGGAAATAGAATTGTGATTTACAGTTGATTAGAGATAGAAATTAGATTTAGGGTTTTCATCACGAACTGACATCAGCTATAATGCAAAAACTACTTGCCCGAATAAATGAGTGGATTCCGCGCCAAAACCTGAGACCTGTTATCTTATACGTGATTGGTTTGTCCACAAATTATAGTCTCGCCTACATATCCTTTGCCTTCGGTCATTCAGTTGCATCAGCTACTGACACTGAGAAAGGAAACTTCCTTCCATAGTCACTAAATCTCTATGACAGATGTCGGTAGTAACGTAGGTAAGATGGTTTCTAGGCCAAATCAAAGGTAATTTTCGAGCTTATTCCCTACTGTAATCATTATTTTGTTATTGCTAAAAGTCGATTGATTACGAAGCAGAGATCTTGTTGTAGTTGGATAAGTAACTATACCGCATTCATTCAAATACAAAATTTTGCTCCTTGTGGACTATTTAAAAAGCTTTGATTTTTCGCGGTTCAGAATTTAGTTTTGCTTTCAGAAGCTATCTTGTTTTAATCGACTTTCTGACAGTCATGTAACTGAATAATGCTTTCCAAAAAATTTCACATTTAGGTGATATTGGAAATTATTATTATGGTCAAGGACATCCCATGAAACCGCATCGCATAAGGATGACCCACAATCTTCTTCTTAATTATGGTTTATATAGAAAAATGGAAGTTTATAGGCCATCTAAAGCATACAGCGAAGATATGACAAGATTCCATAGTGACGAATATGTCAAATTCTTGAAGAATGTAAGACCAGACAACATGCATGAATTTAATAAACAAATGCAACGTTTCAATGTTGGCGAAGATTGTCCAGTCTTTGATGGACTTTTCGAATTTTGCCAGTTATCAGCTGGTGGTTCTATTGCTGCAGCCGTGAAACTGAACAAACAGCAAACTGACATCGCCATTAACTGGGGCGGCGGTCTCCATCATGCAAAGAAATCTGAGGCGTCAGGATTCTGCTATATCAATGATATTGTAATAGGGATTTTAGAACTTCTGAAATATCACCAAAGAGTTCTCTATGTGGATATTGATATTCATCATGGTGATGGTGTTGAAGTAAGTAAAATTTTGATCGTTTAATCAAACAGGAAGCTTTCTATACTACTGATAGAGTAATGACCGTTAGCTTCCACAAGTACGGCGAGTATTTTCCTGGAACTGGTGATCTAAAAGATATTGGTGCTGGTCGTGGTAAATATTACGCTGTCAATTGTCCACTGAGAGATGGGATGGATGATGATTGCTACGAGCGTATTTTTAAGCCTGTCGTAACGAAAGTATGTTTCACTGATTTTTTTAACACTGTCTAGGTTATGGAAACTTTTCGACCCGGGGCCGTTGTCTTACAGTGTGGTGCTGACTCATTATGTGGTGATCGACTTGGGTGTTTCAATCTTAGTCTGAAAGGCCACGGAAAATGCGTCGAATTTATCCGCTCATTTCCTTTACCGCTTCTTCTTGTAGGAGGTTTGTATCTAATTGCTTCTTTAATCGCATATTTATTCACGTTTCTGTGTACATTGTGCTGTTTTCTCTAGTGTTCATGATTTTACTACGAAATATATATCAAGTTAAATTCCATGGTTGCAACTGTAATAATTTGTTCACCATACATAGTTACTGACTACCACTGAACGAAAACTAAAATAACAGTATATTTCAATATCCTCAAGATGCATGTCATGTTTTTTACTTCTGTCATGATCATATATTAATGTAATTTTATATTTCAGTCACTTTATTTTATGGTCATGTTATTTCCTTGTCACAGGTGGTGGTTATACAATCCGGAATGTTGCTAGATGCTGGACTAATGAAACATCTATTGCCCTTGCAACTGAGATCCCCAATGATTTACCCTACAATGATTATTATGAGTATTTCGGCCCTGACTTCAAGCTGCATATAAGTCCGAGCAATATGGCTAATCAGAATACTAATGAATATCTTGAGCATATAAAAACGAAACTATTTGAAAATCTGCGAATGATACCTCACTGTCCTAGTGTTCAGATGCAAGGTACGTCTTATGTTTAACTGTTAGTAAATATTTACTAAATACGGTTTTCACTAGATGTACTTTCCTATCCTTCAAGCTGTACCGAAATACTTAGTCCTCACTAATTTAAAATCGGATTATTGGACTGATTCTTCAAAGTAACTGGTCAGGATGTCTAGCGTTTCGGATTAGTTAGCTTTTAACGTCTTTTCCCATATCAGGGGTTCAAAGTAGTGCTAGTGTTAAAACAACAGTTACCTTGTTATGACCCTGTTTATCTGACTGGTCAGATCCAACTGATTGTCTTCCCTTACTGTTTACAGTAATGAGATTAATTGCTATGGATATGATTTTAAACTGTTAGTGTAAAGAAACCCCCCGATCTATCACTTTTCATCACACTTTAAAACTGCGAATAGATACAACTCATTTGATCTTTCTATATATACGTATATATACTGTGTTGTCAAACACTATTTGTTCAGTAGTGGAGGCATTAAGTTTATTATATCCTATGTATGATGCCTGAGAGCGAAATTTTTCCCTACAACGGATCGATAAAATATGATGAAACCTTGTAGCAAGTATTTTTCTGGTCAGCTACAACGTAGGATCTGGCACATATATGCATCGGTCCAAGTTGCCATACACAAAATTCATAAAAGCAGTTGTTTCTATGGTAGACAACAAGCCATATCACCCAGATTCTTCAACCAAACGTTACGATAGTTGCGAGGACCCAACCGAGTAGTCTGCATCTAACGACATGGTTTATACTAGAAGTTAGTGACTTTATGGACTGATGCCACGTTTTGATTTGACCGCTCCTAACTCTCCCGTCTCCAACATTAGTCAGCATTGCGCGCCAAAGTAATCGGTTGTTGGGCATGCATAATGCTCGCCTTAACCATCTCAGTCGGTGAAGATTCACAACCTCATCAACTAATTTACTATCATCCCCTAATACTCTACATCTAACCTCACCATTACTTATAGATGGTGTATGAACCAATTATTGGTCTTTTCAAAAATTTCATGTAATTAGTTTCCTTTATGAATTTAAATAAAGCAAGAACAAATATTGATGCAGAATTGTATAAATTCATAATATTTCGAGGTTTCTCGTCAGCCGCTTACAACCAAATATGTAATAGAATTTTACATTGGGATAAGAAATAGTGTGAAACAATTGACATAAATGAGTGTAAATGATTGGAATGACAAAGGTTTACAATAATAACTATATATATAAGAACAGGTCAGAGGTTAGTTGGTGTTAGAATTAAGGAAACAATTCAGGATGGGTGGTGTAGTAGTTGAGTGGAGTTTGAAAGGTTAACATAATTTAAGAGGGTAAGTGGGCGGAAATGTGTGAATGAAAAGTTGGTTTAAGAATTCGGTAATGGGGAAGGAATATAACACAAAATATTTTAAAATAAATAAACAATAAAAATAAAACAAAAATGGATTACCAGGGTAAACTCTCCAGGTGGAGTGGAAACGAACTGCTCACTCAAACAAACTAAAATCGACAAGTCCTCTTTTCTCAGTAGCTCCAGCTGCATTTGCCAATTCACATGTACGTGCCATAGCACATACATTGGAAGGACTGAGAGAAGAGTACTCCACTCAACTACTACACCACCCATCCTGAATTGTTTCCTTAATTCTAACACCAACTAACCTCTGACCTGTTCTTATATATATAGTTATTATTGTAAACCTTTGTCATTCCAATCATTTACACTCATTTATGTCAATTGTTTCACACTATTTCTTATCCCAATGTAAAATTCTATTACATATTTGGTTGTAAGCGGCTGACGAGAAACCTCGAAATATTATGAATTTATACAATTCTGCATCAATATTTGTTCTGGCTTTATTTTAATTTCAATTATTGGTCACCAGCTACCATTGAACTGCGTCCCCTGACGTTGTTCCAATGCCTTGTGGATCAAACTCCGGGTGTGGCCCCTTAAGAAAACCACCTGCTACGGTTTGGGCACCGGATAGTATCGCAGCCCGCACACAAATCAAGTGACTTGTGTGGCGCATATGTAATCAGTGCCCCTTTGTACCAATATTTGTGTTGAAAGTAAAATAATGACTTACCTGGTCATCCCAGAAGATTCTGGCAATATTTCTGAGACATCTGTGATCAAATACTAGTAACTTACGAGTATCTGATTTTTTTGTGTTTGCAGTCCACGAATATTTTTTGGGCGTGCGATAATTATTGAGGTTAGTATTTTAGATGCTATGTTGGTTAAACTATTCCGTCTATGGTTACCACGGGGTGATTTTGACCCCTTATATATTGAAACGATCAGTCAGATGGGATTACGTCCAACTCCTAGATTTTAGCTTAAATATTTGTCAACCTAATCGCTAAAACTAGACCACCATTCGTAAAGACCTCTGGAGTTAATCCATCTGGACCAGCTGTTCTTCCTCGTTTCAGATCAGCTATAGCTTTTTAAACTTCAATTAGAGTTTGGGGACCTATTTTTATGTTCCAATCAGGCTTCTTGGAAATAGTGGGTGGCTGTAGAGTAGATGAAGTGCTCCTTAAAGTGTCCCACCTTTTTTTTAAACATGTGGGCTTACGTTGTAACTGACTGACTGACTCTTAATTCCAGTTTCTTTTATTAGTCTGAAAAGCCGTCTTATGTTACCTACAGCCGTTGCCTTTTCCATCTCTTGCTTTCTTTGCCCACCACTGCTTACGATCGGTCCTTAGACTTTTGGTTTATCTAGATCTGATTTGTTTTCGCACGTCATCGTGTTCGGAACCTTATGGGATTTTCGCTAAACCATATTTTTCACCATGAAATATTCAGTTCCTTTAAGATAGATTTATTCACTAGATTAAGTCATTTTTGTACCAGTATTTTGGGAGCAGAAATATGCTCGGTGTCAGTATTTAATGTTTGTCTACATTTTAAAATAATATTCAGCACTCAGTTATCGTATTATGTAACTTGACCGTTAGACATTCCGGATGACATTGTCGATTTTGACGAAAATGATGCTGTTGCAAAAGATTTAGCTGATCCAGACAAGAGGATTTCAATAATGGCTGCGGATAAAGCCATCATGCCCAATAATGAGTTTTTCGACGATCCAGAAGAAGGTTCTGGGCTTGGAGGCACCACACTTCGATCAGGCAAATCAGCTTCACGAGATGTTCAAAATCACCGAGACCAACCAAAACGCGCACGCACGGATGAAGATGCCAGTTCATCCACCACGAAATCAAACAGTAAAGAAGGAAGTGGATCTAAAAAGTCAGATTCTACTAGTGACAAGGTAAAATCAATTCGTCATCACTGATTTCTATGATTACTTATGATAGTTAGATGTTATGTCCCCTATTGTAGACCACTTTTTTAGTTAACTGTCATCATCGTACTATTGAAATGTGTCAAGTAATTACTTTTTTTAGGTATGTAGTTTGTTAGTATGTGTTGAATGTCGCTCTCACTAGTGTTTAGAACTAAACAATAAATACGATTGACACTAATGAATGTACTGATCCCCACATGTTTCATACTTCTGTACCTTTCAAGATGTTTGGGTAGCGTAGTGAAGATCGATATTCCTGTACCCATTTTGAAATGTAGTTGTTCATAATCGTTTCATACTGTTTTCAATATGTTATCTCTAGCACAAAATTAGAAGACCTTCCTGAAATCGCACTTGGATACTTTCATCTCGTTGACCACATTTCCAGTTCAACCAAATTACTAATAATAGAGCCATATTGTATCTATCAGCAACTGTTATCTGTTTAGTGACTTGATTAGTTCATGTTGGAGAGTTTGTAGTAGTAATAATCTGAGATTTTATTCATCCTTCTTAATCTGTTCATATTTCCCATAACTGGTCATTCTAGCGTTTCTTCTGTCTTATTGTGTCCTACAAAATAAGTCAATAATATTTCATAAACTGATCATTTGATTTGCATTGTTTGCTTGGTCATTTTACAACATGCAGATTTTGTTGTGGTCATCATGCTCAAACGATTCATTTAAATTATGCATTCTCTTCGAATTCACATCAATGAGAGTTGTGTTTTTTTCTCATTCTTATACACAATTGATTAGTGAGAGATCTGATAGAATGGCACTTAACACTTCTGTTCGGTTTTAGGTTCATGTGATCTTGTCCTCGCTTTTAGGTAACCGTCTATCCATTTCCATTGCTAACTAAATATCTACAACACTATCCAACTGAACTACTAAATAATTCTTTATGACAATTACTTTCAGCAAACCGTGGTAATTCAACGTCCTTTGTTCATTAATTGTCCTAATCGTTGAATTGACTACTGTTTGGCGAAGCAGTTGCCATTAAGAGACAAACCAAATTTGTGTATCTAAAATTATTCAGTTACCAATCTTGGTCTGCGTTTGTGAACTCATTCACAAATGTTTATTATGCAATTTTTTCATGACACTAATTATTAATACTAACTTATTATCTGATCTGTACTCAGTCAGTTTCGTTTTAAGGGTTACATACCTATAGCATTAATATCTTATTTCTAAATAATTTTGTTTCTATATTTTCAGTCATTCATACAAGAATATTTTTATATTCACATTATTTAACATATGAACACTTATAGTTCTTCAATAGTTATTGCTTTTTTCATTAATCCTTATTGTTGATAACACTTCTGATACTACGATATAAAGCGTGTACACGGATTTTTAATGATTAGTACTATTATGTTTAGGCTGCAAGCAGCTGACTAGAAATCGCGAAATATGGTGGATTCATGTTATTTTGTTACATTAATTTTTCTTGCCTTATTCAAATTTATAAATGGGAGGAATTGTATTAAACTAACTTTTTACAGGATCGAAAATTCCCATTAGTAAGTCATTAGGAGATAGTAATCTGTTTCAACAAGCTCGTATTTCTGATTTGCCCAGAAACCACATAGTACTTGGTCATATCATAAATAATAGTGATTCTCGTCACTGGCTTATTTGTATGTGGTGATAAAGACTCATTTCCTTTTGGTTATGGATATTCATTTTAATAAAATTAATCTTTACGATAAAATCGAACACTTGTATTCATACATGATTACTAGTCATTTAAATCATAAACTACCATAGAATACGAGTTTAGAGGTTAAATCTATCATTAGAATTGAGATTTGAACATTTGGCTTAACTCTTGCTCGTTTTAACTTTATCAATCATTTAATAATTTCTCGTTTTAGCGTTCGGAGTCCAAAAGCGATTTTGTAGAAAAAATGGAGGTTGATTTATCTAAAAAAGCCAACGGTCTAATAGAACCGGAGCGAGCTGCTAATTAACTGGGTTTCTGTCACATTGTTTGCTCTTAATAATTTTTGTAAATGTCTTTGTCCCTGTCTTCTTTTATACAAATAATCCCCCGTGATTCACATGAATGTCATGTTTATGATATCCTGTGTTCATTGTTTGTTTGACATCTAACTATATGTATTCTCTCTTCTTATTTTCCGGAATTGCCTGTCATATTGTACGCATTTATTCGACTTAAATACTACTAAATTGTACAGTTCCTGCAAAAGTATACCATTTGCTATTCTAATGTTCAGTGAATTCAATTTTCCTTATATGTTTTATGATAAAGGTAGGTAATAAAAATTTACAGTATTCAAATGACCACTTTTCTGTAATTCAAAAATATATCGACCAGCTGGCAGCAGGGTGGAAAATCAGTTTCCGAACAAGTTATTCATTTTGTACAGTTTTGTTTAGAAAATGAGTACGTAAATAAACAGCAACATTTCACTGAATCACTTCAAAGTAGTGTTCTTTTAGTTAGCGAAAGTTAAGCTATATTAATAAGTGCTACTGGAATAAGAAAGGTTAGTTTGATGTATACGAAAACTTATTGTCTATTTGAATTTACATTTCTATGCATTAACAACAGGTTTAGTCACAGAAGAATATACATGCCTTTTATGCGAATACCCAGTTATAACAGCTACATGTTATTAGTTTCCGAAATAAAAGGAGCACAATAATACTGTTTTGTGATACAACTAATCGTGAATTTTAAAATGACTTGTACGTTACGATCTGTAAAGTAAGTATCCATTGTTTATAAAGCTGTATCTCGTACTATTTCTAACTTTCACGTTGAAAAATCTACAGTGAGTTTATGGGACACTCACTATGCAAACATTTAATGTCAGAAATTAATATGGGAGAATAACGATTACTTACTGACTACTTTGAAAAATATGAAGAATATTTGTAGAACTTAGTCCATTTCGGTGACGAAGTTCTGGTTATCCTACCTGAGTTTACCCATGAAGTTTTGTTAGAGCAAATGGTTGTGTCCAAACATAGATGCTTCCATATTTTCAGCGGTGGCCTAGCTTAGAATTCAACTGATAAAATTACTATAATCTCCACAAACCCCAATTTTGATAATAAGTAGAATGTGGTGCAACAGAAGGGATAAGTAAGTAATATGAGTGAAGGATCCAATTTTCGTTTGTTTGGTGGTAGCCTTTCTGATATTTCGCCATCGGAAATTGTTGTCACGTAATCTTAGAACTAATTTGATTGATATGTTTTACAGTGAGTCTCTAATACTTGGGCCTCACTACAAGTCTTTGTAATTCCGATAGATAAGTATGGTTGTGATGTGTATGCTTTTATGTAGAACTCAAATTGTTTCTCTAGTCATATACAGGAACTAAAGGTAAATTAAACACAGTACTTAAAGTTCTCAAATATGTTTTAGCATCTGATATTTGTTTATGTGGAATTTGTACTAACTGATTATTCCTGTGCCAGATAATTACGAATTCCGAATATAACACGTTCATTAGTGCTCATCTAGCTTAAATTACATTCGTGGGGACAGTGAAATGTCGCTGATCTCTATTCAAATCATCCGGCAGTTGAGTCACTTAATATCGAAAAGATCATCAATCCCTGTCAAGCACATTCAACGCGAATCGGTTAATCGAACACCATGGTTGTGATGTGTATGTTTTTGTGTAGGACTTTGTCTGTTCATAACAAATGACTAGAAATTATCAGTTAAATGTCAACTGGAAGTTGTCCAATTCGCTTTTTTTTGCATTTCCGCTCATGCCTAGGATATCATAGATCGAGCAAATTCTGTCACTGTAGTTTTCACGCGATTTATAAGTCAATCCCGTGCTTACGAATCTGTTATCAGGATGTTGGATGAGACCTCACAATTATTTTCGTTAAACTTGAATAACGCTATTTATTAAGTAGACTACTGGATAATGTCATAAATGATAAGTTTCAATAGGTACATGGCAAGGGTATTTTCGATACATCGCTAAGTAACATACTAATTTAAGAGCGGAAAATGACATGAGAACAGTTACTGAGTAGAAACGAGAGCTTACAATTAGAAAAATGTAAAAGTTACGCACGACAGCTATTTGATAAATTTTTGTCAAGAATGTAGTAGCTACTTAGCAAAAGAACGACCACTCGAACTTCGTGGACTTTGTTTATTCCTAGAAGCGGTCGACCCATTGATTCAGGCTCTAGGTAACCGCTATGGACAGTCTATGTAACACAGCTCAAAATGCTGGATGATTAGATTTGATCCTCGGTAAGAGTTACACCCTGATATGCAGCGCTCACTCACCATATCAAGGAAATAATGAATGAAAGCGCTTTGAATATTACAGTGTGATGGACATGATTTGTCCATAGTTGACTAAATGCTCCAGAATAGTCTTTCTAAAATAATCTACACATTCAAAGGAATTAAATCGAAGGGAGGTCGAACCAAAAACTTATGCACTGCTGAGGTATTGGCATTTCACCAACTGAAGCCTGAAATCTGCGTGCAAATACAATAAGACCAACCTCTCATCCTTCTTTGACCCCAATTCCATTTTTGTAGTATGTTTTAGTTAATTTTTCTAAATCAGTGTTTTGTAATTTTACACCGCAATCAGTTACTATTATCCTTTAATAGTTTTTCATGATTATTATTCAGTTATTATTACGACCTTTGTGTTTTTCATTTTTCCTCACATTTGTTAAGAGGACAGTTATCTTTGTCGTAGTAAATAAATCCCTGGAATCAATAACTCTGTAAGTCTTCGACGTTTGATACTGGCCAAATTAATTTGGATGGACTCACCTAGCTGAAGTCACGCATCCGCACCAGATCACGAGTGAGAACGCTGTGCTTTACATCTACGACCACTAGCCAGTTTAGATTAGTCACTTCTCGATATATCGATATTCTATCATATATATCTTCGAACCTCCTCGCATTTGATTTCACTAGGTTGGCATGTTTCGATTATAAAAGGTGTTACTGGTCAAGGTGTTCTCGAGATGGTTCAAATGGTTTGGATGGAATAGAAGAAGCTTTAACTTAACAGGCTTCCATGTCTAGTAGCAGGGGATCCTCAATACCCGATCGAAGCTGCTACCTTGACGCGGTGGTCGGGCTTGCCTATCGTGATGACCCAACCGAGCTATATTGGCTGGAACATATGTTCCTGCAGGTTCTACCATGCCAGGCAGGTCGATTGGTGAACGGTAAGACTAAAAGCAGCAACTCAAGGTCTGAGGGCGAAGTCGTACTGCTGACTGTAGAGGGGTGTGACAGCAGTAAGGTGTTTCCCTCGGACATCCAGCAGGACAGCGATGCTGCCTTCCCACAAGGAGGGGTGGGGTTAGAAAAGGTCGACCCTAAAAATGTCACACCTCACCTTACCTCACGGATTTCCGTCTCCGGCGGTAAGGCCCTTTGAAGAACGGAGCTAACACGTCAAAAATCTTCCACAAAAAGGCCGTGCGCGACCGGCCTCAAGCAGTTGTCCCTTGGGCTCTGCGGTCACGCTCCCAGGTCGTCAAGACCAACACTAATCCAATTTCCTTTTCAGGTTCCTCAAGAAATACCCTTCCACGGTGTGGGCAGCCGGGAAGTGATATCAGCCCTCATACCCGTAACAGCACAAGAGACCAAGGTGGTCACATTCAAATCTTTCCTACACCTTCTAATACCTCTCTTATCTCCCCGACTAACCCTCCCCACGTCTCTTTATCACCTCGCACCGCTAGTGCAAACGATTCGAGTACGTGGAACGCCATTCCTGGTCTCCTGAAACCACGCTCTAAACTACACGTAGGAGCTTTTAACGTCCGAACACTGTGCCAAATAGGAAAACAGGCTTCCTTAGCTAGGACTTAAGAATCTCGCGCCATCGATGTGTGCTGCGTCTCCGAAACGCGCATACAGGATCCAAGTAGCGTCATTCATTTGACCTCACCATGCCAAAATAAAGAACCGACTCGATTTACGCTTCGTGTATCTGGGAGCCCTGATTCTGCTTCCCGCGGCCTTGCCGGCGTAGGTATAGCATTGAGTCCTAGGGCAGAACTAGCTCTCTTAGAGTGGATCCCAGTAGACAGTCGTTTGTGCGCTGTCCGACTGAACGGAACAGTAAGAATCCGGAAAGATAGGGACACTCGTCGTTGCCTCTTCGTCGTCTCTGCCTATTCTCCCACTGACTGCAGCTCAGATGATGTAAAAGATGAGTTTTACAGAAAGCTTTCGGACCTTCTCCGAAAAGCTAGGCGCTCGGATGTAGTATTAGTGGCCGGTGACTTTAATGCTCAAGTAGGTAAACTAAGCGATAGGGAAAGACACCTAGGTGGATCTTATGGTGTCGTGGCTCAAAGAACAGATAATGGCGACCGTCTGTTGCAGCTATGCTCAGATAACCGCCTGTTCCTTGCAAATACTAACTTTAAACATAAGGAAAAACATCTTTTAACATGGAGACCCCCTAATTCGTCCCAACGTTGGACCCAAATAGATCACATCGCTATCAGCCACCGATGGAGGGGCTCGATAGAAGACTGTCGCTCATTCTGGAGCACATGCCTAGATTCAGATCATGCTCTAGTGCGAGCGCGTATTTGCTTGCGTCTAACTGGACGTAGGAAAGACGCTGCAAGAAAACCTCTTAGGGGCCTACTTAATGATAGTCAAGCTAAGAGTATATTTCAGGAACAACTAGGAAAACAGTTAGGCAGCCATGTATGTGATGCCCACCCCGATGCAGCATGGAATGATATCCGAAAAGCTGTGGAAACAGCAGTGATATCTGCTAGTAAGGTAAACCAGAAGGTTAGGGAGCAACACTGGATCTCAGCAGCATCTATCTCACTGATAGATGCTCGGAAACTCATTCCACCTGGCTCTGAACATAATGAAGAGCGGAGTCAGCTTAAGCGCAAGCTGACCAGAAGCCTACGCAACGATCGCGAACAGTGGTGGGTGGCGAAAGCAAGAGAGATGGAA